AAACCGTCACTTGCCATTTGCATTCTGTGGTTCTCCACTCTGGGACCTTGAAAGGCAGAATTTAATTTAAAACTAGGACTTTGGAACAAGGGGCTCCGGTCCAGTTCTCCTTACCTCAGATGAAATACTTGTTACATTTTCTCTGGTTGCGAGGTCGATTAACTCAATTAATTACTTGCATCTTATGTTCTGGTGGTTCTTACAGCACAGAGTCCAGCTGTGGCCTGCATCTTGTCAATCATCCCTCAAATTTTTTGAAAGAACTTTGCCTAACAATCCTCTTTAAATTGGATTTTTTTTTCTCTCTGGCTTGTGCACCTGTGTCTTCCCTACTGATTCCTTCTAATTAACATTCTACTAATAGGCTTCAGTAGAATAAAAACAGCTTCTTTTTTTTTTTTTTTGGCAGTGTCCTTATGGCCTAACTGCTTTATAAAGGAGGTCAGTTACTGCTGAGTAATCAGTGTTCCTCACAATGGTGTGGGCCATAACAGTCTTAAAATAAATGTTTTATTGGTCTTGTGTACCATTGCAATTGCTTGAAAACAGTTTGGGGTTTTTCATTAGCTACATAATCCAAAAAATTAGCAATAATAAACAGCTTTCTTCGTTCCAGTGGAGTCTAACAGGACTTGTTGAATTGAACTATTGGAGGGGAAAAAAACAATTCACCAATGTAGTGAAAAAAGGTGGAAAACATGCCTGTGATTGAATTTTTGAAATTAAAATGGTAATCAGTAAGCTGGACCTTGATTTCAGAAATCACGTGGCACCCTAAAGCGCTAATGACTACATGTCAGTCGACCCAAATTGAACAGATTTATTCAAATCTCTTATTACCTTGGGGACCAAACTGCTGCCTGCAAGGACCAGGGGCGGGACATTCCTTTCCGCACTGCTAAACAAAAACACATATGGAATCAAGTTACTCTGTGATATGTATCTATTGTTGCATAACCAAATCATGTGATGTTCCCGTACAGCTGGGTGAAGACATTCCCCCTGTGCTAGCATCTAACTTTCATGTAGTCGGCAAGATTTAAACCGGTTCTAACCGGCTGGACGCTGGAGGAGTGGTTTCTATAAATCAATCATCACAGGATCATTAAACACCATAAACCTTTGTAATGTGGGTGAAATAACAGCATGTGTCGGGGGGTTGGGGGGGGGAGTACAAGAGTGAGACACATTAGGCTTCCATTAAGTTAGTCCGGGTAAATGTAGCTCATTTACACACACTGCTGGTTGAAGTTCAGCAGAAGCAGAACATACTCTGCACTCTTGGTGTGATATAACTATGTTTTCCTCTTTAAAGACTTGCTGAGAGTTGTGAAGCAGGTTAAAGTGTATTCCGTGTCCTGGGTTTTCTTATTATGCTGCCGCGTTATCTCTGTAACCTGAACTAATCCAAGCAGGAATCTAGGCTGGAGGCTCCGGCGGCCACGTTGGGTGCTGAAGTCACCTTTTGACCCCTGCGTCTCTCTGGAACCAGGCTGCCGGACTGGAGACATTTATCCAGATCGCAGGGGGGGCCGCTCTTTGTGCGTTCAACTGTCCGACCTCCCGCAAGAAAGAACAGCATGCTGCTGCTTCTCAGGTCTCACGAAAGTCCTAAGCAAAAAGAAGTACTCAAAATATTACATCAGCCCATGTAATAAATGATGGGAATGTAGATCGTGGATCATTAGAACAAAATGATCCATGTTTGTGTTCACTAGTGAGCATTTTACAGTACCTTTCTTCCCTTTATCTATTTTTTTTGTGTATATTTTAATATCCAGCTATTAATGTAGTCCTACATCGTCATTCAGCTTTCTGAATTCTTTCAATTTAAAGTCTTATTTAATTTTGTCCATCATCCTCAACCAGAGCCCTCTTGTTCAAAATGAGTTTTTACAGCACAGAGTCAAAACAAATTACACATAATATGTAGGCATCTTTTGCCAGATGATGCTTTGCAATTACAAATCTTTTCACTGACTTGTGAAATTAAGATTTATTTCTTAACAAAAGACTAAAAGGACTTTTCCAGGATTATTTAATGCAAATGAAATGCACAGTACAAAAAAAAACTTTTAATTCTATACAATGCTTAATGTGGAAAAACACTGACGTTTGCAAACTGGAGTTGTTTTAATGACAAAAACAATAACTGCAGTAATCTAGAGAAAATATATGACAGTCTGCCTCTTTTTCCCATGAAAATAAAAAAAATGATATTACTAGGACACTTTGAAAAATGGACTAAGTAACCAAAATGTAGCTTTCCACCATAAATATTACATGGCCTTAAACCTAAAACTCACAGGTCAATAAGCTGTCAGGATTAATGCCCCATTGAAGTTCACAGCCGACATTAATTCCAGAATCGTTTAATAATCCACTCTAAAAACTCCCGTGAATTTGTTCCACCAGGTCCCTGACGTGCCCTATATCTAGTTGAAACTGGTCTGGAGGCACTTGTCAGTGAAATGCCAGTATAAAGTACAATTAAATGGGGATTATGGACGCTAAACCTTTTCACTAACACCCTTCTTGGCAGTTGACCTCAGTTATGGGAAAACGCATCAAAGATCCAGGAAAGTCTTTATCTTGAAACCCACTTGCACTTTTTCTCTCCATTCATCCCTCCAAGATGTCCTCCTGTTTATGGCTTTTTACCTCCCATGTTCTTGTTTCGACTGGTTGTTTATTCTCATCGCTTTTATTTACAACCCTTCTCTTCAGCGCGTTCTGCTGACAATGCTGTGCACTGTGTCTGACGATGGGTGTTTTGAGAACAGGGACAATCGCTTTGGGTGACATAATTTTATAACGTAGAGTGACAAAGTGCAGCTCCTCCTGACCTCACACCTTAACAGCGAGGAGGAAACAAGAAGACACAATGCTCTGCAAAATGTATTTTCACCCCATTGAATGTGTTTTGTTGACATTCGCCGTGAACAGATCATCCAAGCGTAATGCTGTGGGAAAGGGGTTTTTTTTCCCCTGGTGGGAAGGTGATTAGAGCTCAGAGGGGAAATCAATGAAGAAAACCCGACGACAACTGTAAAAGACTTAGGATTGGGTCCTACTTTAATTTCCCTGGGGGACAAAGACACTAAAAACAAAGCAAGAGATTCGATTGAATGGTTTGGTTTGACAAACATACTGTCTTGGAGTGGCTCAGTCAAAGTCCAAAGGCAAATCCGGTTGAGACTCTGTGTCAAGCTTGAAAATGAACACTTATAGGCGATTTCCATCAAATCCGTCTGAGGGTATTTTGCCAATTATACGAGGCAATTTAGCTGGTAGAGTAAAACCTGAAATGTGTAGCAGCTGTAATTGTAGCAAATTGGGATTCTATAACATATGACCTCATGGGGTTAAATGCAAATACAAGCCCTAATTTTCAATGCTGCTTTTGTATTACTATTGGTTTTGGTGAGCTGATCTCACAAAATAAAACAAATTTAAATCCTAAAATGTTATGGAGTTTTGTAAATCACAGTAAGGCGTTTGCTTATCTTTCTAAGTATCTGACATTTAGCTTTCTTCTAATCAGTGCATCATCTGACACTATTCCTGGTGTCAGATGGTCGCTTCTCACTTGATCCGGCTATTTATGGTGGACCCACGTGCTGCAGCCTAATCTTAAATCGCATTTATCCTTCCACAGTATTCTCAGCATTTCACTCTCTATTGAATTAATGATGAAAGATAAGCAGATTCGGGCGTTTTTCCGCGGTTTTCCCCGCTGAAGGCGGCTCACCGGGCGCTGCCCGCCGGTGCTGCGCGGTGCTGTCGTTACGGTCCATCAACCGGTTCAGACTGGACTCATGGCAGCGTTCACAATGTGAGTGGAGGGAAGGAGCCCACTCACAAGCACTCCTCAACTCTGAGCTCCACGCAGCATGCGGGTCGTCGCCGCTAACTTTTCTTGTTAATTTAAAAAGGTGAATTCTTGCAAGAAAAAAGAAAGAAGGGAAGGAAGACTGACTCCTGTGGCTGAATGAACTTTGCAGGTAAACAAACAAAAAACAGTGTGGTTTTGCCTGTTTTTTTTTTGTTTGTTTTTTGCGTGATCGCGCTCGTCTTTGTTTTTTTTAATGTGTAATTGTTTCAAGCTTAAGAAAACACACACAGGAAAAAAAAAAAGTAGAAAAATAGAGCCACAAACGAAAGCAGTCGACGCATCTTTGCGGAGCGACACCGGAACTCGGTGCGCTGTGCTGCGCGGCGCTGCGCTGCGCGCGGCGCTTTTAGTCGCGCGGGGAGGAAGCGGCGCTCGCTTCCTCATCTCTCGAGGCTGCATGCGCTCGAGCTGCGGCTGGACCAGCAAGAACAGCTTTGAACCGGTTTGTCACCAGCTACAAAGCAGTAGGAAAAGAGAGAGAGAGAAAAAAGAGCCAGCGCACAATGTGCACTGTTGATGTCCCCACTTCACGCACACATAGAGCTCGTCATAAGGCGAAGCATTCTGATTATTTTTTGTCGTAGAGATTTATTAATTTTTTTGTACATGAAAAGTTCCCGTGGAGCGCGCAGCTCCGCAGGCGCTGTTTGTCTGCTGCTGTAGATGCTGAGGTGAGTGCGACTTTTGTTTGTGAGAACATTTTACCCGCTTTGTTTCCCTCCTTAATGTCATTTAGCAAAAATGACTAAATAAAGGAATTATGTTAGGGCTTTCGGTGAATATCGAGTTTTTATTGTATCTTGATTTTCATCAAATTTCAGTGGGGAAAATACAAAACAAAACAAACAACAACAACCCAAATCAACTACTTTTCTATTTTCATTGCATTGCGAGCGGGTGAATCTATCACCCAAAGATCCATTATGCTGCAGTGGAGCGCAACGATGCGACGGGCTCCAAATAATTTACAGAAAGTGCTGTAACTGATTTCCTATCAGAGAGGAATCATGGGAAAGTCAGGTCACAGAGGCAGGCAGAGGAGATCGGCCGGATTCTCCTCCTCCTGTAAGGTGTGGTTAGACAGAAAGCCAACAAATAGGGCAGCTGGCTGTGAGGAGGCTGCAGTCACATCCAGCAGAGGACCTCACACAGGTGACCAAACTGCCCAGGCCAGGTGTTGCAGCAGCCCTCCTTACATCGAGGCTAGGAGTAAGTACGCAGTCAGGGAGATGTTGTAGGTCATGCTTTAAAAAATGTGCTGCATTTTACACTCATGTAGACAAAATTTACAACATATAGCCTATATATTTTTTTCTTCTTCTTCTTTTTTTCCAGGAATTTCTCCTCAGTAAAAGCTGTAACAGATCCCATCGGCCCCCAGTAACATTGGCACCATGACTTCGTCCACCAAAGTCCTGGATGGAGGCTGGGGTTGGGCTATCGTCGCTTCGTCCTTCATGGCCCAGCTCCTGGCCTACGGATCACCCCAGTCCGTGGGGGTCCTGTACCCCGAATGGCTGCACACCTACCAGGAGAGCAAGGGCATGACGGCCTGGGTGGGCTCTCTGGTGGCAGGAGTGGGATTAATAGCCAGTGAGTAGCAGCAGACATGAAATAAACCTGTGTATTATTTCTTAATTAATTGGTTGATTAATACAAAGTCAGCAAATTCAACTTATGACTTTTAGATTTCAAACTGCTGCTTGCTATCAGTATAAGCAATACTTTGCAGGAATGTTGTGTTTTGGATAATAATATTAAATGTGGTTAGTGGTTAACAAAGTGTGACTCTTGAAGAGCCCTTTCACCCTTACACATGTCTTCAACCTTTTCCTTCCCAGTCATAATCACTCACACAGTGATAAAAAAGGCAACACACTGTTTGCTCAAAGTCTGAAGGAGCCAGTTTTCATAACGGCGATTAATCAACAGATGGACAAAGTTGCATCATGACTATGAGCACTTTGTGGCTCCCTGAGCAGAGTTGCAATTATTGATTTTCCCAGAGAGCAAAGCGAGTGCATGTCATCCTTGCTGTGAGCGTAGGAGGATCATTTAGCCCTGGAGCCAACTGCTGAGACACTGAAAGAGGAGAGGAGACGCAGAGGAAGACACAGATAAGGGAGAAACACGTGGATTTGTTCCTGTTCTTGAAAATCTAATAAATCAATAAATAAATAAAATAAACAAATTCTCGCTGAAAAGTTTGCCAACACTGCAGATGTTTATCTACTCTCCAGGAACGCTGATATCTGGTATTCCCATTTGGAGTACAGCTCACCTTTCAGCCTGGCTTCTGGCTGTCTGTCTCAAAAGAGAGAGAGATGGGTGGAGGGATTTGAACTGGACAGATCTGGCTTAAGGGCTGGGCAAGACCCAGACGTGTGTCCCGACCATCTGCAGCTATAGTGCTGCAGTTCCTGTAGTGTTTAAGAAAGGATCTCAGAGCAATGAGAATAGGAATGGCTTGCATGATACATGAGTTCACCGGCTTCAGGACACGGATGTATTTCCATTAGTGAAAAAAGAATGTTTATTAGGTTTCATGCAGATTGACTTACTGTAGAGGTGTTGCCCGAAAGTTAAGATTTCCTTTCATTTTCAGCCTAAAGGACAATCAAAACTACAAAATTGCAGTTTAATGACACATCTGAGGTGTGTGGCAAGAGGCAGCAGTGCATTGCTCTTCTCAGAAAGCTGTTATGAAGGACATGACACAGCAGTTTATATCTTCTCTGCTCTTTCTTAGGTTGATATTTTTAGTTCAGATCACACTGCCATTTTCCTCTGACTCTATTTTTTTTCTCTCCCTTTTCATTCCTTCCCCTGTCTTCCCCTCAGGTCCCATCTGCAGCGCCTGCGTGGACAACTTCGGCGCACGCCCTGTTACCGTCTTCAGTGGTGTTATGGTGGCAGGCGGCCTGATGCTCAGTGCCTTTGCTCCAAACGTCCAGTTCCTCATATTTTCCTATGGAATTGTTGTTGGTGAGGATTCACATATTTTACCTGTACATTTTTGTTTTGTTTTGTTTTTTAGTCAGTCTTCACTTGAATTTCTACAGAGTTTGCTCTCTTCCTGGTTGAGGTGTTTGGACATAAATATTAAATCATGAAATAAAACATTCATATCCATTTGCTCTACACTTTTTGAAGTACTACTAAAAGTAAATTGATCAATGAGGGGAAAAAATGCTATTGGTTTGTTTACTTGCAAACTAAAGTGGACAAACCCAAATTAATATTGGTTTGGAGTTACTTTTACAGTCAATTTACAATGCAGGCCTGGTAATTTTTGTTTCTTTGTCATTTGCTAAATCTTCTGATTGATTTTTAAAGTATTCCTCATTTTCCATTAGAGTAGTATCCTTTTGAAGCAAAACTTACTTGCTGAGTCCAATCAAACACAGACCAAATCTCACGGTTCAAGAGCTGCTGGGTCTAGAGGGCACTATCGGTTTGGATCTTATCCAGTAAAAATAGAATATGTAGTTTATGTTGCTCTGTTCCTGGGCGCAAATTTACCTTGTGTCCTTCCAACCTATAACAATCTCATAACACATTGTATAATCACTGGAAAAAAGCAAGAGTGCATGTTGAGTCAAACTCTTATGTAACATCAGAGACTGACTTTAGCCTTAATTACTAGTTAATGAATATCAATGGACCAGAAAGGATGACAGGATATAGAGCTAACCATGGCTCCATTTGTTTGACCATCACTGACCACTGTTGACAGAAAAATAAGAACTAATGACTCAGTCAAAATTCCCATTTGGGCTTTTACTGCCTGTGTTCCCAGACTGGTGGTTATGCATGGAATCAGCTACCAGCTGTTGCTGCATATTAAGTGGCTGTCCATGCGTGCTTAATTCTGATGAACCCTTTCACCGCCCATGCTACGTTTCATGCAAGGTGCACTGACCAGGAAGGTTATGCATAGTTAAAGAGCAATTTATTTTTAGAGATGCCCTCAGATAACTGACAGTTGCTGCGCAAGCACACGTAGCTTGTTTACTTGTCATCATGTTGCATGTATATATATATATATATATATATATATATATATTTTTTTTTTTTTAAAGCACACCGCTTATTGGAAGTAAACATGTGTTTCTACAACATGGGACAGTCAAAACACAATTGTAGGTGCAGAAAAGGCTATCCTTTTCATCCAGGCTAATGCATTTATATTTTCTCATTTCCCAGGCCTGGGTTGTGGACTTGTCTACGCAGCCACCTTGACAATCACCTGTCAGTATTTTGACAAGAGACGCGGCCTTGCCCTGGGCATTGTCACCACAGGTACTTCTGCCGACCTCTCCCCTGAGATCTCTGGGTGCCTTCCTGTTCTCCATGCTCACTTCTTTAATGTATGAGCTGCTGGGAGCCTTACAAAGCTCAGGTAAACATATGTAGTAGTTAAGCCAGATAGGCCTATTAATAAAACAGGTGAACTGACCTGTTAACTACATCTAGCCTGGCTGAGAATGAAAACATCCTTGGTCATAGGTCAGGAACTGTGACTCCTTAGGGTTGTAAGATAGAACTGTGTGGAAGACTGTGCACCTTTATTTTCTTACACACTACAACATTTTTGGTCTTATTTTACACCAGTACTAAATCTTTGTCCTTTCCTCTCGTTTAGGCACAAGTGTGGGCGCATTCATCTATGCCTCTGCTCAAAACGAGCTAATTGTCCTCTACGGCCTAGATGGCTGCTTGCTCATTATTGGAGCCATAGCACTGAATCTCATGGCGTGCTCTGGTTTCATGAGGCCCTTGAATATGCCAGGGTACTACCTCAAGCAAAAGGCCGCTCTCGAACGAAACACAGAAGAACAGCTCTTCGTCAAGCCCCCATTCGACAACCTCAAGATCGCAGTGGGTTCTGCAACAACCACTCCAGAGAAACCTCTCATGGTGAAGGAGTTGCTTATCACCATTGATGCTAAGGACTTGTCCGTTCAAACAGAAAAGAAAGAGGGTCACCTGACTGGGCTTGCCATTGTAAAAGCAATCAAGAAAAAGCAAAAGGCTTACTCCAAGTACATGCACTCATTGTATGAAATCTTACAGGACCAAGAAATGGTGGCCTTCTGCATTGCCATCTTCCTATTCAGCTTGGGTGCATTTCCACCTGTCCTCTTTATAGAGGACATTGCCCAGAGTGAAGGACTCATTGAAGAAGTTAGTGTCATTCCTCTTGTATCCATAGGCGCTATTGCCACTTGCATAGGCAAACTAGCGCTGGGCATCCTGGTGGACATCAAATGGATCAACGGCGTCTATCTCTATGCCTTCACAATGTTGGCGGCGGGTTCGGTACTACTTTTTATCCCCATCACCAAAAGTTACGTTGGACTACAAATCCTGACAGCCATCCTTGGTTTCTTCTCTGGAAACTGGTCCCTTACGTCTTACATTACCACTAAGATTGTTGGCTTAGACAGACTGACACAAGCCCATGGTGTCCTTATGTTCTTTGGGGGATTTGGGATCATGCTTGGACCTCCTGTTGTAGGTAAGATGCTTGTTTTTATCCATGTTTTAAACACCATACACAAGCATGTTTTATGTGTTGCTTGTCTGAAGCTTTGTTGACTATTCTAATCATGGTGTTTTGCATTTCCCTTTTCAGGGTGGTTTTTCGACTGGACACAGTCGTACGACTTGGCGTTCTACTTCAGTGGCAGCTGCGTTCTGTTGGGGGCGTGCATTCTTTTTCTATTCAGCCTTCCCTGCTGGAACAGGAGGCCCTCTGAGAACGACAAACCTGAAGTCCAGTACACCAGCACCTGTGACAAAGTTGCCTCAGTAGCCTGAATGAAGATCATGGCACCTGCTGCTCACTGACTGTTTCCAAACTATGCCCCAACTCCCCAAAAGAAAAAGCCCTTGGAGGATTTTTTTTTTCTCTGAACATGCTGGGGTTTCTTCTGTATTTCTGTTGTGAGATTTCAAAATGCCAGGTTCTCAGGTTCAACTCATTTACAACTGATATGTTTAAAGTATCGACTCTAAAGCCTGCTATGAATATTTTTCTTATTACCTCATTTTACGAGGTTAACAGAACAATGTTGGTAAAAATCCAAAATGTATCTTTTTTATCTGAAGGCTATTACTTTATCTTCTCTGCACCTTTGAAAATATGACATCAGGCCACCCATAAGACCAAGGAAAAGATCTTGAAAAACACTAAGTGTAAAAATACACTAACATTTCATGTCAAAATGCATTTATAATCACCCATTTTAAATATAGGATCATTTACTCTATGTTGGTTGGAACATTTTTTTATACCTATTAAAGTAAAATCTGATTCTGTATTTTGGTCTCAGTAAACAAGCTCTCCATTCTGAATGCTACCAAAGCAGCCATGATAGCCAATCTCTGGCATCACATAATGCCTGTAGAACCAATTCATAGGCCTTTCTTTGCTGTGAGATTTTGATATTTAAATGCATGGAACGTGTTTTTAATGTTTTACATCAACTTACACTTTATGTATCTGTTGTTTCAGACAGATGATTCTAGAACACATAGAAACAGCTGGGGGATCTCGCAGTATTTATGACATTTTGCAACATGTTGCATGTCCTGATCACAAGACTGCACAGACATTCAGTTCGACCTATCTGGTCCTTTATATCAGAATCACTGTGTTTAAATGTTTGCTTTGTCTGCATCTATACACCGCTATATCTTTATGTTAGCCATAGTTTGTAAAATCCTATGTGCTTGTGACATTTATATGCACAAAACTGGCTTTGGAGCGGTTAAAAATTTTGATCAAGTTTGTTCTTGTGATTTGAAGTGTAACAGGATTTTAGAACTCTGTGAATGCTGTAAAGTAAACCACTAGAGATGTTTTTGGTAGCTCCTGCTTCAGGTCTGAGAGTGAATCTGGGACATTCATGTTTAGCATTATTTTGTTCATAGAGGGTGTTGTTAAAGTACTGTAGCTATTCAGCTGTATATTGTAGCCTTTCATTTTTAATTTTTTTTATTAATGTAGTATTTATGTTTGCCTTTCAGTTATTTTGTATATTTAAAATGTGCCAATAAAAACATTTTGATTAGTAGCACTGTGTATTGATTTGTTACGAAATCATAATATTTTAAGTTCTAGGGTCAGAAACCTTACAACCCAAAGAGCACGTTTTACTTTGGCTCATCCCAATTTTAATAGAGTGTAGTGTGGCAAAACACCCCAAATGTTGACAGAGAACCTCACTAAAAAGCTATTTTCAAGTTTGCCACACATTTTTTCCATTGTTTGGTTGTATGTTTAGGGTTGCTGTCCTGCTGAAAGGTGAACCTCCAGCATAAGGCCTGTAACAGGCTTTCCTCCAGGATTGCCCTATGTGGAGCTTCATATAACTTACTGTTATCACTGACCAACTTACTTGTTCCTGCTGGAGAAAAGCCTCCAACAGCATGTTTTACAGTGAGGAATGGTGTGTTCAGGGTCGTTTGTTCTTTGCATCCCTATTTGCTTCCATTTTTTTTTTTTTTTTTTTTTTACCACCATGCTGAGTACAAACCTGATTTCTTGCACTGTCATTTATTTAAGAGCATTGCGGTACAGGGGGCTGAAAACGCACCCAAAAATGATTATTTTTCTAAACACAGAAAAGTTTGTCTGGATTTGACAGTGTTAATATGAAATTTGAGGCAAGACATTCGTGGAGTATTATGAGAATATTTCAGTGAAGTCTTTCTGTTATTTCTTATGTAAAATGTGCCGCTGACCGCACTGGTCAAACACGGTGAGGATACTGGGAACCATTTCCACCTGAGCATCCCGAGCCACTCTGCTGTTGCCCTTAGCAATTCCCATAGCGACCGTGCATCACGTGACTAGTAACGTAAACAACTTGCCAGTGAAGTTAGCAGGAGGATACTGAGCCCAAAAGAAAGAAAAGGCTTCGTTAAAAATAACTTTTTATACACGTATATTTGCGATTATCCAGCCGCCGGGATGTGAAGACCATGGCAACGATTAGTCGCGAGTCTTCGAAAGTCTCTGCAAGCGGAGCATTCATTTGGACAAGATGAAAATCCGTCCAGAACCCAGAGGCGGGGAGCAGATCCAGTCCGCTGAGCTGAAAAATGGGCGCAAGCGCTTCAATTTCCTCCTGTGTAAGTTCTCACATTCGGCGTGTTTATTCTACTGCTAAAGGCTTTCCCACGTCATTATGCAGCAAGTACGATTTAATTTTGGACAGTTTTTCTTTTCTTTTTTTCACAGAAGGTCCCTGAATGCGCTTTTTCTTTCTTTCTTTTTTTTTTTTTTATCATGCAACGTCTGTCGTGTTGCCAGGCGCTCCAGGATTGGACTTGTTCCAAATATCCTGTAGTTCTAGAGACCGACGTCACTTTTAAGGAAGATTCAGGTTACGTTGTCTTTAGGAGTCAGTAATGAAAAAAAAAAAAATCTAGGTACTAATAAAATTATAATCAAACTACTTTGTCATTCTGTACTTTTTATTCACTAAATGCTAAAAATATAAAATGGCACTTTACCTAAATTATTTCTAAATGATAAACAAACAATCCACTTTTGAAAAATATTACTAATAATACTCCACATCACATAGGTATGGCAGGGAAGTAGGAAAGATCATCACGATATTTTGACTTCTGTCTCTGGTCCAAGGTGGCATAGCCTACCAGATTTCCGATCTACTTGAAAGAAATCCACAGTAAACTGAATTTTTGTAAACTTTGGTTTTTCTTACCAATTATAAACTGTTGGGGAAAAAAAATAAATGTGGAAACTACTTTGAGTCTGGAAAAATGTTTACATTTAAATGAATCCTTGTGGGTGTATTCCCATATTCATACTAAAATCAATGTGAGTGTAAAATGATAACATATTTAACCAAAACGATGTTCTTAAGCTATTTATGGTGTTTGTTAACGTTGATGTAATGAATGAGATCTCCCTCTGTTAATTTCTCTTCTCGCTGCAGAACAACTTATCTTCAGTGAAAATAACAAGACCCACCTCTAAAGTCTGCCCAGAACACAGCGTTTCTGGAGAACAACCACGGTGTGTCTTCGGTGTTACTTTGGAAAAACTAAATGAGGATGGGCAGATGGTCAATGGGATACCGCTTGTCGTAAGAGACATGGTGGAGTTCTTGGAAAAGTGTGGTAAGTAAAGCCTTTCTGAGTCTCTTAGCTAAATTGCTTTATTCATCCCCCGCCCCCCTTTTCATTACATTTAACTCAAGCATCATCCGTATGTGTTGCTACTGAATATGTTTTCCCTATCTTAGGACTGCAATGCAAGGGTCTGTTTCGCTTGTGTGGGTCGATGAAACGTGTGAAGCGGCTGAGGGAACAGTTGGACCAGGGAGAGAGAGTGGACCTGGACCAATTGGGGGACATCACCAGTGTAGCTTCTCTACTCAAGCTCTTCCTGCGGGAATTGCCCACTCCTTTAATTCCTGAACCGTACCGCAGACAGATGGTTCTCAGCCTAAAAGGTAAGTGACAAATGACTTTTATGGTAAACATTTTTTGTTTGATCAAAGGTTTGTTTTTTGTATTTTTCGTTTCTTTTTTTTTTGGTTTGCGAATATCCCACTTAAATAAAACTTAGTTAAATTAAAGCTTTATACTCATCTTTACAAGAGAAACTAATCAATTTTCAATGTTTCTGCATATTTTTTAGAGTACACATGTGAGGAAGAGCTGAACCAGAGACTGGGAGAAACTCTTCGCGTCCTGCCTGATTTCAACTTAAATACTCTCACTTACCTCTCCCACTTCCTAGTAAAAGTGGCCTCCCAGAGTCAGTTCAACCAAATGCCTGTGGAAAATCTAGCTACCATTTTTGGACCTTGTGTATTTCAGTAAGTTGCTAAAACTGTGATAGGAGACATGAAGGGTTAGGGTTAGTTAAGTTTCGACCAAATGGCGTGATTTATGTCAGGTTTCTTTTTGTTTATTAATATTCCAAGATCAATTTCAGCATCTAGTCCTGTTACTTTGTTATTCGTTTTAAATACCTATGCCCAGACCAGCAGAGCTGCCTGTGTTGGATGTTTCTGTCGCACATGTGTTTGTAATTTTGGTAGATTTCAGTGCAGAAAAAAACAGCCTGTTCCTCATGAAAGCAGCCTTCTATGTATGTGGCATAGTTCAAACGCTTTGCTGCTGAGTGTTTGCTGTGTGAAGTCGAGTTCACCCCCTCGTAGGAAATGGGTGTGATCTGTGGCTTGCAATGCAGAGCATGGCACAGAAAATGACTTACAGATATGAACAAGGTCTTCAAGAGTTTGCTTGTTGCTTCTCCCTTCCTGTTTACTGAACTGTAAACAAGCCAAGTCTCTGTGGGGCCTCATACGATAAGTGACCGCTGTGCTTTAGTGACAGTAGGAAGGAGTCACTATATTTTCGGCTGACTCGTCATTCTTTGATCTCTGCTGTATTAGTTGTTTTGCGCCTGTTCGTCGTTGCATAAAGGCCAGGGTCTGAGAGGAAAATGTTCGTCGTAGCCACAGGCGAGAATAGTTTGAGTTTGGGTAACTGGAAAAAAGAAGTCTGGAAAAAACGGGTGGGTTAGAAGGCTGTGAATAACACAATATATTTTTGCTTCCTACAAAAATGTGAACGGCTTTGGGAGGCAAATATAATGTTTAATTTATTCAGTTCATTTCAATAATAATAATAATTATGGCAGTTTATTTGACTGAGAAAATGTATTTTCTCTGGTCTAGTTTAAGATTTCAATAGTCTAATCGGCGAAGGCAGGCATTGTATGCCAGCATTAGAACATATGTGCTTGGTGGCAGCTTCAGTGACACAGTCTGTGCCCCATAACTCCTCCATATTTGCCTCCCAAATGTCTACAGAGACAACCACTTCCTCTCATATGTCTCTGTGATGTAACAAGTGATAGACTTCAAAATGATTTGTCTGCCATGCAAACACACCTGTTGCTGCTTAGGTTTTCTGCATTTTTACTCCCACCACCCTTTAGATCTGTTTTCTATTATTATTTTTGATTTTTGCATGAGGGAAATAGGCTGATTTTAAATTGATAGGTTATATTTGATCAACAGAATAACATGAGGAAATGAATCTAAGCTGGTAGGCCAATTTGACATGAGTTGACGAATAGGGGTGAAATGATTAATCAAATTCATCGCAATGATTCGATTATCGTAATAATTGTCAAATAATTTTGTAACTGATGAATCAATAACTTGGGTTTTCAGACTCAGAAAAGGACAATTTGTAGAAAAAAAACTCAGAGCAGAAATTAAGCTAAAATTTTTCATATATATACATATATTGGATTTAATTACAAAAAACATTTTGTCTGCATGTTGTACCCAGAAATTCTCAAATTTGACCTTTACCCATTTATGATTATGTAAAAAAAATAAATAAATAAAATCTGCAATTAGCTTCCTTGTGCTATCAAATTATTAATCAATTGGAAATAATGAATAATAATAATAATTGTCAAAAATAATTAAAAGATCTGCTCATATTTTTAGCTGTAAATGAATCATTTGCTATAAAAGATCAAGCATTCACTAAAGGAATGCTGTTATTGTATTTTAGCCAATGAAATGCCCGTTTTCCTATTTAAAAAAGGAATTAATTGTAAGTGTATTTGCATGTTTCAATGTCTTTGTATTTTATAAAAAAAAAGGCTTAAATGAAAAATCTGCAGAATGTGTCAGCTTTTTTTTATTCAGTTCATTACTTAATTATCAGAATAACTGATTGTTAAAATAATGAAGTCAGTATTTGCAACCGTGATGATGATTTGTGCTTTCTGTTGGATGCGTCACGGTGCTCGATATGGGTTCCTCTCAGGACAGTGCTGTTTGTGCCTCGAGCCACTAGATGGCAATCTTTACCACTATGTTTGGAACAGAAATAGCCATTTTGAATGTGATAGCGTTGACAGTGACGTTGTGCTGTTGTTTCTCTTTCCCCTCTTCATGCAGAATTCCGGTAGGGCCCAGGATCCTGGAGGAGCAGAGTGTGGCTAACACCCTGCTGCTCCACCTTCTCAGATATCAAGAAGAACTCCTTCCGTGCAAAGCAGAGATCTTGATGAACCCATCCGCTACTTCTTCCTCGCCTCCTCCTCCTCCTCTCTCTGCTCTTTCACATTTTGAGGTGTGGATCATTTTGAGCTCAACTTATGTTGAGCTCCAACACGGTTATCTCGACAGAACTTTAAAAGCGTTATTTTAGCACGACTTAGAAAAAAAAAAAAACATAAATAAATGAGCCAGTGGTTTTCAATTGATTTGAGGGAACAATGTCGCCTTTTATTTATTCTTGACTTAGGAGTGAAACTTTCTAAATTTGATTTTTGAACTAAAGCAGAGAAATGTCCTGTGAAGTCAGAATCTCAAGTGGAGGTTTCCCCACCAACCCTGACTCCAAAGTGGTCACTATGCAGATGAAATAGAAAACTGTATAGAAATACAGAGTTTTTAGCTTAAACACTGATTTAGTTACTAAATCCCACTGGTTTCTGATATATAAAAGGCACTTCATGCACTTCAGTTGTATGCAAAAGCTGAATGGCCTTCTTTCAGAGTTACAATCACTTGATGATACTGATTTGTGAAACGCTACATGGCTTTGCTCCAGCTTGCTTAGATTCTTAGATCTGTTGCTGCCCGTTCTTTACCCGCCATGTGGAACATGCATTTTTCTTTTGCATGTTCCACATGTTTGAAGGAAAAACAGTCGGTGTTAAAGGCTCCTTCAACACAGAATCAGCTTCAGTCCGAACTCAACACGTCAGATCTGATTTCACTGGAATTATTTCGAGCGCTTCTCAAAAATGAGCAACATGTTTCTGTTGATCAATGTCATTGCTTCTAAACTGTTTTGCAATTTTTTAAAAACCTGTGTAAGTGGCTTAATTTGTTGTACTTTTGAGTAATGTGTTGCCGATTTCAGTTCTGGATCTCCTGTATAAATAGAGGAAAGAAAGATAGAAAAGTTTTTATTACATTGTGCAGAAATGGACAGTATACTGTGTTTGTGGAAAACGAGTCCACCTGTCCCTGTGAGCAACATTTTCGACATTGCCACTAGTTTATTAATGTCAGTGTTACCTTTTTTGACAGGTCCGACCCCACAGCTGTGACTTTGAGAAAAGCTGCATGGACAGGTTGGAGGAAGAGATCCCTTCAATTTCTGGGAGCTTCATTTCTGAACTAACTCTACAGATGCGATTACAACTCAGCAGGTACTCTTCATCTTGAAGGCTGTAAGGTTGTATTAGAGACATGAAGTGCTATTTAACATCTGCACGCAGTGTTGCATTTGTGCGTCAGGCCTTCAGATGCTTTTTCATACCTGACATTTAAGCACATGTGTCCTCTGCTAAACCTTTTGTAATGGAAGTAAAATGAGACGGTCTTATCGGCTGTTCAACCTGAAAGGGCAATTTCAAGTGAGAAATGTAATAGTTTCGATATTTGACACCAAACTAGCTGGAAATTTGATTCAATTGTAGCGTCTGAACAGACGAGTCATCCAGTCTGTTGCTTGAGGCGTTGGGACATGCAGCTGATTACGCCCTGAAAGTAACTTTTCCCATGTGACACATAAGCAATGGCGACATTGCAGGTCTGTGCATTCCGGTCGATCAACAGACAGCTGTTTGTTGTTTCTTGACACCTCATGCTCATTTCTGTTTGTTTTTCCTTTTACATATGAAGCAGAACAAGCATGCTCAAAATATGTTAATTCAGATTCTAAAGTGCAATATTTCTCCAGGATTGGCTCCCACACTGTAAATCATGAAGTTGTTGTATACATAATGGACACAAAGGGATATTCCACCTACATATATTTGAGTCTAAGCTGTGTAATCAGACATGTCTGCTGACAAAGAGTGACCAGATGCAGCAGAAGCAGAGTGTGAAAGAAGGCCAGTTTTATGTTTTGCCTTTGTTTTTGAGTCATCATAGTGCAAATATCAATCATTTTTCACCAACAGCTTCCTACGCTCATCTGCTCTGCAGGAGAGAGATGCTGCATCATTCCAAATGTTTGACCGGTTTCCTCAGCTCACTGAGGGATGTTAAATTGAAAACCTGGGGTAAATACTAGGAAGGGAACATTTCTGTTTTCCATATTTTTATTTCCCTCGTTAAAAAAAAAAAAAAAGCTGTCCAGGATCAAGATCAAACACCCACATTTTTTTTCTCTCTTTTTTTAAATCCAATAATTCAGAGCTCTTTAGTTATTTTCTTCTGGATTATGAAAATTAAATTTTTTTAGGCTAACACAATTATGGTTGGCCAGCACACTATATGCTTGGAAGTATTATGATAAAAGCATAATGATATGTGAGGGTTACAGTATATCATATATTGGGGTCAGTGAGACCAAAGCCAAAGGTAAATAATGTTTGTGTTCATGAAAATATCCTTTTCTATAACCATTTCAATATTGTAATAATAATTTCAAACAATTCCTGATCAGATTTTATGTAATTAGCCTTGAAACTGAAACATATATTGAAAATCAAAAGCTAAAAGGAGAAAATTAGCTCAGTTTGGGTCAAAGGTGCGCAGAGGGTTATCATGACACTTATGCTGGTTGCATGTAAACTTCTGACCGGTGCTGTAAATGTGTGTCACCTGGATGTTTCTGCTTATTTTGATTCTTATGCAGTTAGAATCAACATTTACATAGTTTACATTCACAGATTCTCCTCTATATAATTGTACTTTTCACTTAAGTTCTATATTCACCAAGTGGTTTGTTGACGTCGGTCATTTCACTTCTTCCCACAATGGTCCTTATCGAGGTCAGTTAAAGAAATGTATCAAATGCCTAGACAAGCATATTTTGTGAGATGAGCTTAATTCCTTGTGGGTTCGGTCTGTGATGATGAAGGAGTTTCTCCTCAGTGGTAAATATGCTCAGACGTGTCTGCTGTCCTCTGTTGGCCTTTCTGACCTACTTCTGTCCGTGTCACTGTGCTGTACCGGTTCTGCTAACTCTAAATATGATTGAGCAGATTCGAACTCCGGCCCTTTTGTCGTCACAGGCGAGAGTGTGTGTGCAGGGAAGTAACTGAAGCGACCGGGTCAGTAGTTTTTGCCTCCGGAGCTTTTTATTTTTCTTCTTCTTCTTTGCGACCATTAAGCCTTTGACGTCTCTGCGCTCCTTTCTTTCCTCGTCTTTTCTCCAGAGCAGCATCGTTGCTGCTTGTTGTCTTTTGTTTTAGGCTGTTGTGAGAAATGTTCTCGTCTTTGATCTGCTTCAGCGTCAGCAACTGTGGATCAACGGTCCATCGCGAGTGAGTGAAGAAATGGATAAAACTATTCCGAGCACGCTGCTGGTATTTGTCTGCAAAGAAATCTACTGTTTGATAATCAGTGACTAATATCTATGATAATTTAATCAACATTTATCACTGTAAGTGTTATCAACACCCTCGGCTATTTGTTAATTCATTTTCGCCTCTATGTTTTGGGTGTGATTGGAGTTGTTTAAGGCGGGTAGAAGAGGACCAGCATGGATTCTGTATTTCATTTAGTGCTGCGATGCAGAGCTTTAAGGGACGTTTTATCCTGTAGTTTAATATCAAAAATAATTTTCTGTTTTTAAGGTCAACGTTAAACTTTAATACATGCTTTCTGTGTTTCTATTCTCTTGTGAGCATGCCAATTCCGGTTCTGCTCCCACAGTTACAACCATAATTTTGAATGAATTCTGTTGTGTCAGACTAAATTAAATAAAAACTTGAAATGTGTAGGATGCTTATCATTGCAGGAAGCAATGATAAATTAAGATGAGCTATTCTGATTATTAATATTCTTCAAAGAACAATTTTGTGTTCGGAGTCTTCATAATCCATTTTATTCATGGCTTCGGTTGTGTGTGGTTTGTGTTTCTGTTTTATTTATCACTTTTGATTGTTGTTGTTTTCATTTTGGATATAACTTCACACAGTTCCAGTGTGAAGTTATCCTAAAATGCTATGATTATAAATATATTACTTGAAAATTGTCTCAAAACAACAGTATTGTTGTCTTTTTTTTTGTTGCAATTACTGTGAAATTGTATTATGCTTAAACATATTTTATTTGTGTATGTTTTCATCCCTTTACAGTGATACTCCTGTATATTGCTGACTTTTTCTGTACTTATCTGTTTCTCGTTAGATCTTGCATCTTTCTGTGGGAGAAAACACAGTAACCCCCCCGTTACCGATCTGTTAACTTTTGTCTTTTCTCTTCCTGTCTGTTCTCATATTCTCATGTCTTTCAAGACTGTTGCCAGTTTGTGAAATCCGCTCTGACGTCAACACTGACATTCAGGCGCTGACTGCAAACCGGGAGGTTCTGCGGGAAGGCAGGATCACAACGGAAGCGGGCAGCGCTCCGTCCAATCACGCTGACCTGCTGCCAGAGCGTCAGCCGTGGACCGCACAGCCTCTGAGCGCTCCGGGGGAACCTTCTGGAACGGCGCCTGCCGTGCAACGGTCAATTTTTTATTTTTATTTTTCCAGACCCTGCATTTTAACCCAGTGGTCAGGTGATGATTTTGCTGAAATAAGTTTTCCCTACTAATAACCCATTCGCCTCATCTCACCAGGATTTTATTTCAAACACCGCAGCCCAACACCAGATCAGAGCTGAAACAGGAGGAAGTTTGCTCTTCTTCGGTGTGCATCTGTATTTTTTTTTTACTATTCTCTGTCTAAACTCATTCATCAATACATATTCTTTCACTCTGATATATTACTCCTAGAATTTTTTTATTATTATTTTAGAAAAACTTCACTAGTATACATTCCCGAAGAACTAAATAAAACTTTTATTTGAAAATAAATTTTTACGTGCAAGACTAAATGAAAACGGATCAAACAGTTGCTTTTTTCTTCAGGTTTCCAGCAGCATCAGACAGAACTGGCCTCAGTCGGATCTCTGGATGTCGAGCGAATCACAAAACGAAATGCAAATAAAGAGTCCGCACCCAGACAGGTGAGATAAAACGGCACCATGATTATGAAAAAAAAAAAAAAAAAAAGGTCGAGCGCCTTTGATTTCTTTCAATAATTTGTTCGCGAACAATTTGTGTTATCAAAACAGTTAGATGTAAGTACTTAACAGTGAATCACTTGTTAGTGAATTGCTTTTTTTTTTTTTTTTTTTTAGCAGTGAAAGTGTATCAGATGCATTTAGATGGATACTAGAATTCTTTTTCGGAAGAAAAATATGACCAGGGCTCAGCCATGACCTGGTTGAGCCCTGCAGTCAGTTCAGAAGTAGGTTATCGGAGCACATCGCTGCTCATAGTCACGGCTTTGATATGATTCCAGTCCAACTAACATCGACTCGCTGCAGGGCCTCACGTGGAGCAGGCATACTAACTGTGTTAGATGGACTTTGCGCGGCTGGTCGGTGAGTTTTTGTCTCTGTTTGTCTCCACAGAAAGCCTTGGTAAGCCGGACCTTAGTACCATCATGCCATAGGAACCGACCGTCTCAGTTACGCCTCACTCATTCGAGCCATAAACAGTCCATAATTTAACATCCCGACTGCAGACCTAAACACATCTGTTTTCAGCTATGTTCATGAGCAGATCCATGCATTGCTTGCCATTAAAGTTACATGGACTGTAGCCAGAGGTAGAACGAGAGCTGGCGCACAATTTGTGAAGCCGGCTTTTGTTTTTGTTTGGTTTTTTATTTTGCTCTGGCACTTAGTCCGATTTGATTGGGTTTTTCAGCTTCAGTTCATTGTGCTTCCTTGTTATTGTTTTCTAGCCTACTGTGCTGTATACAGTCCAAGACAGAAGATGAAGGGACGGTGTCCCAGTATGAGGTAAACTGGCTTTTCTACAGAATAGTGGCTGTTGTCTGGAAATCGGTTTCATAGTAAATAGTTTCAGATTTGCATTATTTCGCTTTAACGTCCAAGGAAAAATAAAGTCTTTTTTTTTTCAAAGAAAAAAAAAACATTTCACTTCAAGAAATATGTGATTTTCTTGAATTTTTTTTTTGTAATGATTCCCTTGATCATAAATACTCAATGCTGTTAAAACCAGTTGTTTCCTTTTTCAGATCATTTAGAATGAATGAAATGACCTTAGTTTGTCAAATCCAAAAATAATGGCAGACAGATTTTTAGGTAGTTTAACTTTCTTAAAGTAAATGTTTCCATACATTTCTGTAGTTTTCTAGAATTTTGGCCCATTCCTCCAGTCAGACCTGCTGTAAGTGGATCAGCTTTGGAGGCTTTTTATTTATTTTTTGGCATACAGTTTTTGTTTCAGATCAGGGTTCATTTATCTTAAGCTAATTTTGAACTAATTTGCTCACATAATTTCATCCATTCGGTCCTTTTTGAAATCTAATAAATGTTTAAGGAGCAATTTTTTTTTCCAGCTCTGTACATGCATATGGCTTTGTTACTGATGGAGTTTCTCTTGCTTCAGAAGAGCAGAGGAGGAGGATGCTGTGGCCTCTCTGACAAAGATAGCGACTGCAGAGCCTCAGACAGCTGCTATGACGTAAGTTCTCCTTCCTCGCAGTCCTTTTTTATTTTTGTGCCATGAATTGTAGAAGGACAGGTGATACCTGGAGTTATTTTCTGTAAATCCCCTCCATGTGTCTGGATGTTTGTGCATGGCCGCCCGTAGGTGTTTATCTTCTGTGATAATAGCCTCATTTCTGCCCTCCCCTCACATCCGTCCACCTCCTCCGGCTGACGCACAAGGCTGGTTTTATTTATTTTTTAATTTTTTTATGAATGAACCGCTGCGGAGGATGAGCGAAAGGAACCTCAGCCTATACCTGCTGCCGTTGCTGCTGATGTCAGATCAGATACGACTTTGTTTTATGATAAAACTTGACATCACAGGTTGTTTTTTTTCCCCCCTTCAACCTGCAATAAAGAGTCAGAACGAACCACATCCACTCACACACACACACACATACACGCACGCACACAAACCAACAGTAAAAATGAATCCCCACATCACCGTCACATCGACTTCTTAACCCAGCCGGACTACGTTGCTGTGGAAACGGCTCGTCACATACAGTAGCTCTCTCCTCCCCTGCGCACGCACCCACACGACACCCAGCAACACGAGCGACATCCCCGCAGCCGCCGCCCCTTCATCCGTGCACTATGAATAGTCCATGTGGAGGCTGCTCGTCCGCAGAGGTGTCGGGAATGCCGGTCGGAAGGATTTAAGAAATTCTCAAAAGGCGCTCGCAGAGACACAAACACGTGGACGAAGGGGAGGCAGGGAATGCTTGTCGGGATGCGGGTGCAGTTCAGGAATCGCCTGGTGGGGAGACCACTTTGACTACAGCTGTGGAACTTTTTGTGAAGCGGCAGGGGAAAAGTCTTTCATTGGATTTCTTTTAAAAAGATCACATACCTAGAGCCGCTGTCTGCTTCCCTCCGCTGCCCTCTCACCGATCAGTTCACCCAATTTTGAAAGTCTGTTTCCGACCAAAGGAGAAGATTTGTTTTCCAGGACTTCCAGAAAATTTCTGAAGCTCACGTGAAGAGCTAAAGACCGCCAGCTGGGCTCCTTCCCCGACCTCGTCAGTCATTTTCCTGTCCGCGGCCCTGAGAACATGTTCTGCTTCTGTTTTCAGACCCCTTCCCTCAAGCTACAAGCCCTGGACTCTAGACCCTCGTCAGACTCATTAGACCCCTCGGCTCAGGAAAGCACGCCTGCGCAGCAGCAGCCATTTCCCTCTGAAGGTCATCGTTTGAACCAAACGCTGCCTCTGTCTGCGTCTCAGCATCAGCTCATGGTTGACTCATCACGAGAAAGTAAGACGGAACCAGTGAAGTGATACTGATGCAGTGGAAGATTGCAGATGAATTGTTTGGACTTTCAGGGACAAATCTACTGTCACAGTGAGATTAATGTGAATTCCATAGAGAATAAAAACACTTTTTAAATACTTCATTGGCTAAAACTGTGCTTCCAGTTTTAAAGGTTTATCTTTTGTCAATCAAACCGAGATCAGAATGTACAACTTACCCTGATCTGGTCTAATCTGTGATCAGCAAGTCAAATAGGGAAAAATCTGATTTTTTCATACGCATTAAACGCATCGAAACTTTGATTTATTGTCTACGAGTGCATCAGAATGCACATGCTTTCATTCACTTAAAAAAAAAAAATCAAACATAGGTCATCGACATATGCTTTGACACATAAATGGGAATAATTATGCAATGCTTTCATTTTATGTTGGGTTTTAAGCTACTACCTTTCTCCTACAGTGTCTGTTCCTCATGTGTTTTAATTAGGAAAAAAATCTGAATAAATCTAAATCAAACCTTCAAGGAAGTGGGTTATCATCCAGTCGTGATGATTAATCCAGTCACATTAATATTCATATTTACTGCAAAGATTAATGTATTTTATTAAATCCAACTTTAATAGACCTATTTGAGATGAGAGTGATGCCTTCCATATGTTTGCTGAAGACAGAAGAAATTTTAATAGTGAATACAGTTGTGCCTGTTGCTGTGTTTTATTTATTTCTCTCCGAAACGAGTTCGTCAACCCACCAGACAATAATTTTTTTTTTCCTATTATAAGTCTCAGATGATATGCTGTCTTTGCTCCCTGTCTTCTAGCACACCACTCACCTCCGTCTCTGTCAGAGTCTGGCTCCACTCTCTCCACCGACTCCGGTACGGAAGGACTTGTGAGAGAAGGCAGCTTGCCGAGCCCACCGCTCCCTCACTTGAGCCCACTCCTATCTCGTTTTACCCCCGGTGATTGCCCCGTCCCCTCGCCGCGCTGCCCGAGCCTCAGCCACAGCCTGCGGTACAACCTGGACCCCGACACGGCACCGTCGCCGCCCTGCTCGCAGCACATACGCATGTGAGACGAATGAGATGCCTCAGGCACATTTCCCATTGTTTTATTGGCGTTTTTTTGTGTGTGTGTGTGTGTGTGTGTGTAACACAAACAGCCTGGATTATTAACAGACTTTACTTCTCCAGGGCTCGCTGCAGCGTCCCTGCAGCGCAAGAAGACGGTTCTGTGTCCGCGTCGGCGCTCAACAGACACATTCACACACTCAGGAAGAAGATCAGGCGATTTGAGGAGCGATTTGAACAAGAGAGGCACTACAAGGTGAGCATGGACTAAAACCACCTGGACAGAATTAAGAATTATAAATGCAGTTCCCAACAACTTGACATGTTGCCAAATCTTTATCTATGAAGAGCATTTATTGTTCTTAATTCATACATTAAGACTTTTTGTCTTTGGCTTGTCACATCAACCTTCCTTCTGTTCTTTAAAAAAATACATTTAGTGTAGGACAGTCCAGTCCAAAAGTTGCTGAATGTGAAATGAAGTGGCTTTATTTTTGTCCATATTCCAAAAAACAGTGGCATGACCCTTTTTGCCACGTATGAAACCCTAATATTTTGTTTCATGAGTTGTTTAACCAAGACCCAATTGACGTTGAAGCAGTTCAATTCCATATCATGAACCTAAAATGTTTTAAAAACAGGAGATCTATATATTTGAGCCTGGAAGAAGGTTGACTTTTGAAAATAAAATGTGTCGAAACCCTCTGACTCCCTCTGCTGGTAAACTGGAAAACTATAGTTTGTTCCACAAAGCGTCTTTTACAAAGCAAGTTAGCAAAACTAAGCAAAAAGAGCTCTGCTGTTAATGATCACATTTCTTTAATGGTTTCAGCCAGCACATAATGACAAGACTTCTCATCCAGAAGTGGCCAAACTGATGAAGGAGCTCATCAGGAGCCGCAAGCAGCTGAAAGGTCAGTCATTAAATCACAAATGTGGACACTCCAGATGACTAGAGGGAGAGGAATATTTTTTTTTTTTACATTTAAGTTGCTCTTTTGGGGAATATGTGCTTGTTATTTATGCAGAAAATCACCTGGAAAAGATATTGGTTACTTTACTACTAATGCTAATGCTGATATTTTCAGCCAGAACTATTCATATAACAACTGTATGAAGATATCAACCTCTCTGAAAGTCTATAGAAAAAAATCACAAATTTTATGGAAAACTTTTTTTTTTTAAATATTTTAGTTGAAATGCTTAAAATAGGCACACTTTTTTACTTTATAAATCTGACCTTTTCTCTTGTTTCTTCTTCAGAAATGAAGCTCACACAGTCTGAAGAGTCAGGAGTGAAGGGACTCGGAGGTTTCAGTCCCTCTGGTGAAACCTGCAGGACCAGTGCAGAGCAGAGGGAGGCGGGGCCGACAGGAACTGAGCTTCAGCCCATCAACAATAACAGCAACGCCACGCAAAACTTGGAGGAAACGGTGAACCTGATAACCAACCGACTGAGGGAAAGGAGGACTGAGCTGGGTTTGCCGGACAACATCAAGGTCGGTGCTGTAGAAACGTTATCATCACCAACGCAGTTATTTTACATTAAGTTTAGAGTTGATGCTAGATGCTAAAATAAATGCAAGCTTGTTGTACTTTGTCCTCTTTGCGCAGGACATGTCCAATTTCCAGTTGAGTATGGAGAAGACCTGCATGCAGAAGTGTTTGCTGTACTTTGAGGGTCTGCACGGACGCCCAGTACGGCTAAACTTTTTTCCCAAATAGTTGCTTCTTTGCATTTTAATTTGTGTAGAATTGTAATTCGTTTGTGACAAAGCAACGCTCTTTGTGCAACTTCAGATCACCCGGCAGCAACGGACTCTGATGAAGCCGTTCTATGATCGGTACCGTCTGCTCAAGCAGCTGCTCTCTTCCGCTTCCACAGCAGCCATTACAACCATCGTGAGTTGCAGTTCAAGCAAAATATGTTTTTATTTAAGGAACGTCACTCGGATCTTCAATTCTCAGACATTAAAGAAATTCTCTCCGGCCATGACGCCACAAACAAATACAGCTGCCAGGAGTAGTGTCGCTACGCCCTCTAGTGGTCATCATAAGAGCTACACTGGATGCACATAGCTCGATGTTGACAAACTGTTGAAGGTGCTGGTTTTAATAGATTTAAAGAATTGGCATCTTCTTTACAGTAGTTTTTTCCCCCCCCAGGAGGAAGAGGAGGGTTCCGATGAAGAGCACTTTAAGCAGCAAAGCTCCAGAGAGCGGCCACTTTGGTTAAAAACGCCGAGCTGCAGGTCATCAGAGGAGCCCCAGTTCACATCGCCTGCGGAAACGTCCGAGACGCCGGTGGTGTCTCCACTGGATGAGGGGAAGACTTTCCATGCACAGATCATCACTATGGCAACACTGCATGAAGCATCCAGGTACAGCTTCTGTGCACACGCGGTGTGTGTGTGTGTGTGTGTGTGTGTGTGTATAACCAACCAGAGGCGTTCATAAGCTCTGCTTTAGGTTAGTCGTCACATTTCCAGGTCAGGCGAAAATGAAATTAAAGAGCATATTTAACACTTGGGATAGGTGTTTATTTGGGACCCACTGTCTAATATGAAATTTGACTCAAGTATTTCCCTAACCCAAGTAAGTCTGGAAAAATAAAGTAGAAGAATATTTACCTTTAGATATTCGTTCATATTATTTACAAGTATTTGCTGCAATCAATGTGTTTTTAGGATTCATTTTATACAAAAGATGCAGCCAGTGTTTTATGTCCATACACCTCATCAGTACACTAGTTTAAGCTTTTAACATCATTGCTTTTTCAAACTGCTGTCTAAATAAACCTGAGATACCTCTAAAGGTTTCATGGATGACACTATTTTTTGCATCTTTTTGGCTTATTAACTTGCAGAATATGCAGGTTGACGGTCATGCATAAAATGTCTTCCTTCATGCAGGCAAGAGTTACTGGATCACCTCCGGATGGTTCGATTGGAGAAGCGACGGCTTCACCAAACCCTCCAACAGTTCGAAGACCGTTTCTACGCACAGACCGGCAGGTAGCCGCAACACACACGACAAACACACGGGTCCTCCAGATTTCTTGGCATTTCCGTTTTATTTAGTCTTTTAATAAACTTGGAACATTTGGTTGTTGTTGTTTTTTTTTTAAACAACGCCTTGTGACAAAACAAAAGACATCCACAAAAAGAAGAAAAACCACCGCAATGGTACAACAGTGTAATGCACACCCATGTAACGTTAACCCAGCACAGAGAGCTCAAGGAGACAGAGATAGACGTTTGTTCTGAACTGTACACATCCTTTTGCACTGTACATGTTAGTCCTCCAAAGTAAATACAGTTAGTTGTTGAATACAATACACACACGCTGTACAAAGCTATCTGAGTAAGGCAACATAGGGACCATCAACCAGTCGTGGAAGCTGCTGCAGTTTGTTTCGAAACGTCGAAAAACAAAAGACGAAAGAAAAGAAAAGGTTTTTGCGGTTTTTGCATCGTCTCACCTGTGTGTCTCGCTTAACAGGGTCTGTCAGAAGGAGGACCGTGGACCAATGGCGGAGGAGTACTGCCAGTACAAGAACCTCAAGGCTAAGCTCCGCCTACTGGAGGCTCTGCTCAGTAAACAAGACTCAACCAAAGCAAGTTGAGTTACTCACAGTGGGACTTTTTTTTTTGTTTCTTTTTTTTTATTTAGCTCAACACAACTCTTTTTTTTTCCTTTTAATTGCTTTGATGCTGATGGGTCTCATTTCATTCCATGCTTGTAATGTAAATGCACTATACATGAAGAAGACTGAATGACCAAAATCGCTGACACTCTGAATGAACACGGGGTCTGGATCTGGTTTTTTTTTCTTTTTTCCCCATCGTCAACCTTTTAGGACACTTTTTCATAACCCTGTCTGTCGTAGCCATTTCAGCACAGTTACCATGTCAACAATGAAGCAACCTTAGTTACATTCAACTAATTTGTGAAGACTTCATGCATATTATGGCACTTTACTACTCGCTTCCTTCCCTTATACCAAAAAGATTTTCCTTCATCGTAGTTGATGTGGAAACTGCGTTATCAAAGTGCCGTTTTATGGAGAAAAAAAACAAAACAAAACAAAACAAAAAACTGAAATAAGCTTCAATATAAATCAGCAAGACAATCCAGCAGTGTTTGTGCATGTCGGGGGTTTTTTGTCCTACATTGTGCTATGATATGCATTCATATTTTCATATGTCATCTAAACTATGATCATCCGATTTAGATGTCGATCTTGAAACATATGCAGTGAACGTAGACGTCATAGTGCAAGTTGAGTTTGAAATGGACTTTTTTCCCCCCTCTGCCTATATGAAGTCGCCTCCTCCCCTCGAAATGTTCATGTTGACAAAGATATGAGCTTTTGAGATTGTGCACTTCTGGTTTATATAGTTTTCTATGTATTTATATCCGTCTATATATAGATATCTATATGAGTGTATCAATAAAAATAAATATTTTTTCACATTTATTCTGCAAAAAACATTTCATGGTTCTACTTTCTTTTTTCAGTGATGATGAAATATGGTGGAGGTGCTGACAGCTTCAACACTCATGCTGCACAGAACTGCATCATGCTGTTTTTTTGTTGTCTTTTTTTTTTCTTCCTTTCTTTAAGTTAATAAATTGCTCACAGTTTGTCACCTAAAGACCTTGTGGATACACACGGAGAGATTGTTGCGTTTGTACGGTTCAGATTCCACCGCGACTTAACGTCCAGGTTTTACTTCCTTTGGTATAAAAGAAATGAAATCAAACTGATTGAGAGTGTTGCAGCTCTAGAAAACTGTAGTACCAGTCCGTGCCACTAGTAGGAGGTAAGTAGAGATCTGAATTAATCAATTGAAATGATAGATATGGAATGCTTATTCAGAGTCTCAATTTCTAGTTAACAGTGCATCAGTAACACAGAGGCTAAGATTGTTAATTTAACATGGATCATTATATCATTTTTTTTAAAAAAGCATAAAGTTTTAACAGCAGACTTTTAGTACAGTTAAAGGGTTTGGTCAGTACACAAATATGAACTACGTGATGATGGTGTTTTTACCTTTATTGGATGATGATGATTATTCAAGGGTGTTTCTTTTTCTTAGATCTTTGGGAATGACGGTTTTCTTTAGGGACGGGGAGCAATGAGACTTATAAATCTGCTGCTTCATGCACGTGTTCGCCTGCTTCGTCGGCCCTTGTGGCCTTCCTTCCGTTTGTGTTGATGGGGTCAGTCAAAAAAAAAAAAATCAAGTCCCTCTCTCCCCCTCCTGGACTTTGGGCTCCCTATTTTTGTATTTTAGCGTCCCACGCTGATGTTGCACGTCTTGCAGCTGGGGTCCTTCTTAGCGTTCACCGTGGACAGACTCATGAGCTGGTGCCCGCTGATCTCTGCTACTGTGCCCAGAGCCAGGTCCACGGGATCCGTGTAGATCACCTCCAAGATGACGTCTTGGGCGTGGTGAAACACCAGGCCGCCGTCTTCGTCCTGCTTGCAGGTCAGGAAGCGGTTGTTGCCGATGTCGAGGGCGGGCAGCCTCTGCTTGCAGAAGTCGTCGCCCCTGGAGCCCTTCGGTGCCAAGACCAGGATGACATAATGGTAGGCCGTGTACATGCAGTAGAAGTCTCCGAAGTACAGGTTGGTGTCGGGGTTGAAGAGCGCGTCGGCCTGCACCTCAAAGCGAAGGCGGCCGTAGGGCGAGTCCTGCGGCGGCTTGCCGGTGTTGAACTCTGTGTTGCAGCTGAAGAAGATTCCCTCCAGCTTGCCGCTGATGGGCGAGCCGTGACTGCCGCTGTTGTCTTTCACCGACGGCATCATCCGGTTGTCCTGCGATTCCCTGGAGTTTTGAAAGAAAAGATCTGGGTTTTATTTTTATGTTAACTTTTCCTCGGAGCGTTCTGTCAAGGAATCTGCAACGCGTCTTATTTCTTGACATGGATTTTGTGTGGTGGACCAAGACGGTGTGGCACAGACTTGTGTTCCTTGATCTTCATGTTGATGTTTGTTTACTATTTTTCTCCATCAAAACTTTGAGAACACCTGGGTTTATGAGAGTTCCTTCTGTGGAACAATAACAGTCTCTTGATTGACTTGTTTAAAAAAAAAAAAACACCTAATAATTCAGTTTTCTTTAGTCTTATAGACAAATTATTTAAGAACAGACATGAAAGTACTTTCTTAAATTTATAGAAATCTAGATAAAAAATTTAAAAAAAGCTAGTGCCATCACAATAAAAAAAAATTGCTTTTGAAAATAAAATTCTGGACAAATCCAGGAAAAATAAATGCACACTAAAACAGAATAAATCTGACCTCAACCTGTTGAAATATAAACCTCAGTCCTGTAGCTATATGTCCAGAAATCCTGTTTTCATTGTGGGAATAACGCAACTATTCTGCTCTCATCATATGAAAACGGCAGTACTGGTAAATCCCCACATGATGGGGTAGTTCACCAAATACGCTCTCCACCAAGTGTATTTGGTTTTGCTGCAAATCAGCAAAAGAACAAAAAATAAATAGAAAAATAAAAGGAAGAATGACGTCAGGTTGCACAGCACCAGACAAAAGAGTGTTCAGAATCTGCAGTCCAAATAAAGAAACTGTTGTATAACTGGAAGCAATTCCTCAAGGCAACCCGATGGAAGGAAAACAGGAGAGAGAGAGTGAGAGAGAGAGAGAGAGAGAGAGGAATGTACGATTAAAGAGAAGAAAGAAAAAATCTGACAAAAACCCGCCCGCCTACTCTGTTGCTGAGTATTGTCAGCTCACTTTCAGTAAAAACACGAGGGAGCAAAAACAACCTTTCCATATCTAAGGCTGTGTGTGTGTGTGCGTGTGTGCGCAGAGAAGTCTCCTGGAAGAGCCGGCGGTTTGCTACAGTAGTTTTGATGTGGCATATTTGGACTGATGGCAGTAATTAGGATGCTTCCAGCGGCTCCCTCCAGCTGATTCTCATCTCTTCACGTAAGGCAGCTGGAGAGAAACGCTATAGAGCAGAGGTAGGAGGCCACCATGTTGTTTTGTGGAGTAAAAGGTTCCTGTGGTGATCCGTCCACATCCCTGAATTGTCTTGGCAGCCGCATACAAATAAAATCTAACTGTGCCGAGAATGAAGTGTTAGAAGATCTGTCCTTGTTAACTCCTGACTGTTTTAATAAATATCTCACTGAAACACATGCCTGCCAGAAGCGAAGAGCGTTACATGTTCTTAATTTAAAAGGCGTAAAAGAGCAGCGCTGCGTTCTCCTTCATTCGGGGCAAATTTGATAAAAGTGTTTCATGACATTAATAGCAAATCTATCCGGAGCTAGTTAAGTAAGTGGTGATACAAATAAATGATGATGAACTTAGTTATGGCTGTGCCCACCTGGCATGATCGAAGTACTCTTTATGCTGGTTCCTGTAGAAAACAGAGAACCGCAGCATTCGCCCGGCAATGACTTCGGCCTTCTCCAGCAGCTGGTTTAGATGAACCGTAGAGTAATCTAGAAACGGATTCATTATTTTAGTGGTGAAACACACACACACACAAAAACAAACAAACATTGAAAACAGATGATCAACTGTCATGAATCTGCATTGAAAATTTCAGGTATTAAAAAAAGCTAAATATCTTCCGCTCTGCCAATGAAGAAATATGAGCTTAACTTGAAAAATAATTAAATGATTCCCCTCCAAATATCCCCTTTGCGACGAAGCAACTGGAGCAAAAACATTTAATCAAGTCTCGTAATATTATTCTACTCCCACCAATCACCTAAGGGGCCTTTTCTTAATGAGTACAGGCCAAAACAGCTAGTTCTCCAGTAAATGAGTGCTTGAAGACAAACGACACGAGATGCGCAGCTTTGTTTTGTTTTCTTTCAACAGTTAGATTTGCTTTTCAAAGAACACCTTGGCTTTTGTTGCTGCCCTGATCCTTCCTGTACACACAAAACCATTTGTTTATTGATGCTACCAGGAGTTGATCGACTCAGCTAGAATGTGGACGAGGAGCAGGAACACTACAATGCCATCAGTTCACTTTCCTCCTTTCAATCTGTTTCACGACCTAATCTAAGAGATGCACCACCCACCAATTTAATGTCGCCCACTTATCTGAGATCAAGTCACCGGCTGACAGGGCTGGGACTTAAAACCCAGACATCCCTCTTTGCTTGACGATTAATATTTACCCTTGAGAAAGTTCCGGTCTACTCTCAGTAGGATCAACTGAGAGTAGACCAAAAGAAAAAAACTCCAGAAGGAGGCAATCGGATGGAAAAACCATCTCAACTGAGTCCTTTTAACACGGAGCAGCAGCAGCTCTGACCTGAGCGCTCCCCAGACGATGTAGCGACTCTCTCCGTACAAGTAGGCCGTAGTGAGGAAGATGATTGAGCCTTTTCAGCATTTGCTTTACCAGCAATTTGACATAAATCCTACTTTCAGTGGTCTTAATCACATAGTGGGAGAAGTATGGCATTTATTGTATTGTTTATCATTTATCATAATAAATTTCCCAAGACAGGAATTTTGATTCATCGTTGTCACAGTAAAATTCCAATTAATGATTCTTAAAATTGCCCAAAACGGTTTGTATTGTTAGTTTTGGCATTTCCTCCACTGTTTGTCCAATGGGATCATAAATAAATACCAGCCACACGTCCACTGATAGCTCTTCAGAAATTCTCTTCCTGGAAATACTGTCATCCCTCTCATACTTTGTTCTTTCTATTATTTTTCATTAGCTTAACTGAGACAGAAATGAATTATGTTGTGTTTCAGGTGGATAAAGAGCCAATATCTTCCCTAAATTTTCTTGTGTGTCAACAACCCCGGTTCATTTCTTGAGTGCAGATGCTTTTTCATGGCTGATTATGTTTTGATACAAGCTGTGAAATCAGGTTCAAGCACTTAATTGCTAAACAAAATTTATTTGGCTTTTCAAGACTGTTACCTTGCTGCACAGCAGTTCGCGTTTCCATCTGCAGTAACCCAATAAAAATCAAAATCGATTGAATTCAATGAGCTAATAATATACTGCTTGGCCTTGAAGCGTCAGAGTTAAGGACAGGCAGGGGAGTGGGCACCTAAGGGCCTAAGCTGTGTGTCTGTTCTCTACCAGGAGGCCTCAGTGGATAAGCCCCCTTTAACCTCCCCAGCCTGCTATCCATTCTTTCCCCTCCCCCACTATAAGCCTCTTGGCTGTTATGTTATGTGACTTTAGCATTCCAAACATATAGCACGGCTCCCCTTTCTTCCTTTAATCCCTCTATTTTCTCATCCTCCTCCACTCCTCTATTGATCTTCTCCTCAAATCATTGCAGACTTCCTGTAATATTCTCCCTCCCAATGCCATCTTCTATATTTCTGTGTGTATTTCGTACAGTTTGTCCCCTCCAAAACCTGAAAAGGCAACTCTGACGGAGGTCGATCGAGGACACGAGCTACGTGGACTGTGAGTTGTGTTGTGTACACACCGGCAGTGCAGAACTCAATGATCTCGCTCCACTCGGAGACGGTGTAGTCCCCGTCGGTCTGTTTGGACGCAGTCTGGACGGCCACAGTGTACTCTGTGCGGGGGCTCAGGAACCAGTGGCCCCGGACAGTCATGGGCAGGGGCACCGCCTTGGCCACGAGCTTGGTGGGAACGTCCTGGATACAGAGAATTGAAACAGGATGACAGGCAAGGAAAGGAGCAAAAAAGGTCAACTCAGATAGAGATTGACCATGTATGTGTCTTTTTTTATCTACATGCAGAGATGTGGAGACTCATGTCTGAGCAGATCATTTCTATACCCAAAATGCTCTGTCAAATTTTCATCAACCCACCGCTCCCCCCAACCCCCCACCACACAGGTATCAGTTGGCCTTAGCAGCTCAGTGATTGGACCGACAGCTCCTGCCCAGCAACAGAGTCATCCCGCTCCAACAAGGCAGAAAGAGGAGAGGTTCTCTGCAGCAACTCAAATAAAATAAAATACAGAAAGAAGGCGGCTGAGGAACCAAATGTTAAAGAATTACTAAAACAGACACAAAGCAGAGTCTGTTTTAGTGCTGCAGGGTTGTGAAGGCGTCGTTAGCCAATCAGAGCATCTGGTGTTAGTGTCCTGAAGTCAAAACCACCTTGAAAAGAATCTTCTTTAAGCTCTTAAAGAGCGGTCAAGCTGAAGTGAATTCCACCTTTATTGAAAAGAATAAAGTACTAAAGGAAAGTAAGAATGCAGCATTTTAATAACAATTTCTGCATTCATCTTGTATAATTGCAAAAAATCATTTATAATTTTTTTTTTACCCCATTACTACAGTTAATGGAAAACTTCAAAATTTCTGCATTCATCAACCCTTGCAAAAATATATAAGGTTGCAATGGGATCAGTGAATCAACAGTAAAACGTCACTGTAGTGAGCTAATGGAGAACGGCAACTTTTTATTTAAATATTTTTAGACGCGCACAATTCATACAAGATTCTCTCTACCTATAAATCAAATATGAAATGAAAATCATTTGAGCAGCACAAATCTGGCTATTGTTTGTTTTTGCCATCAAAGTGGTTATGTTAGATATAATGTGCATCCATCTTTAAAGGTAGGAGACATGAAACTAATGAAAGTTGAGCTGCGCTGCACAGCGCAGGACCTGCTCTGTTAAACTGATTGTCACCACTCATAATTTGATAGGGACATTTTTTTACCAATAATAAAATTTTAAAAAGCCATTTCAGAGGGTGATTTGCGTCCTTAATTCAATTATTTTTGCAAAAATGTACCAGTAAAGAGCCTATCATTTATCTTCAAAAGGCCATAACAACAGCCTGCTTGGTGATTCATCTCCCAGTGGCATCACCTTTAAAAGGCTGTTTATGTGTGTGACTTGCGCCTTTGTTACCTTGTGTTTGAACTTGTTGGAGTTCTTGTTCTCCTTCTTATTCAGGTCAATGAAGTAGTGTGTGATGCGTTCCTTGCTGCGCGCCTCCATATCCCAGCAGATCTTAAAGGAGTCGCAAGTGATGTTGCTGATTTTGATGTTCTGAGGAACAGGGAGTTCTTCCATGCTGCCATCCTGGGATTTGCTATCTGTGTAATCAAAAAAAGAAAAGAAGAGAAAAAAAAAAGACTGTTACCATGGAACGGCATAATAGAGTAGCAAAATGGGATCAAATGACAAAGTTTTTTTGAATAATTATACTCGCTGCTTGAATATGTGCTTACAATGACCCAGAGGTCATCATAAATCGCCATTTTATGTACGCAGTTCAAAACAAAAAAACCCTGACTCCAAGCAATTCCAAGTCAGCCTGCAGAGTGGAATGGCTAAAGCTTACCAAAGAATAAAAAACTGCAGTAGCTATTCAGCACACAGCATTTACAGTATAGCCATCAAAATGCACAGCAGGACAGAGCGGCTTACTGTATACGCTGCCATGGAAACACCATTCTCTGCACGCTTGTGCACATATCTGCTTCACCGAGCCTCAGCGGCGTCACAAATCCGATACTCTACTCCCTTCTCTTCTAAGCGGCCTCATGGGTTTTATGAATCTTCTGCAGAAGCAAGGGCATTCGAACAGTAATCGGGGTCACGTTATTGCCACAGTGTCACTAACCCATTTGGCCTCCACCAAAAAGCCCAACGCGTTGCAGCAAATCTCACATTTTCTCTGCTGCACGGCTGCCAAAGGCTTTGCAACTCAAAGTTCACCCAGAGGCTGATGGAAAAACTGAACCCAGCTGAATAAGAGCTTTGTCACGTAAGACAGAGTACGGACTTTGAGACGCCCACTTGGCTTGGCAACAATGCATTTGCTATGTATGCTCTGGGGTCTGCACACAACAGTGGGTGACAATTCAAGAATGCCGTGTTTGGGGGGTAATGTTCAATATGACTGGGCTCTGTAGAGGGTTAACAATAGCTGGAGTAGTGGAGCATGGAAAATCCATCTCCGTTCGTTCACCGGGAGAGGCAGAGATAAAAGAGTGGACTGGTAATTGGGTTTGTGCACTCCAACGCCTCACCTCCAAGTAATTGTCAAACTGTGCAGCTTTTGTGGATTGATTTTCTTAAAATTAGATGAGCGAAGGGGAGCTTTTATCACTCACTGTGTTGCACGAGCACAGAAAGCACAAAAAAAAAAATAAAAAAACCTGCAATCACTGCCTTTTTCAAATTAAGGCACTTACTTATTTCCCCTCTTGGTCCCGACAGAGTGTTTTCAAAAAACAATTTGCTATAAAACATGTCAACAGCATCCCAAAATGAACCACTGGACCTTGTAAAATTATCTTTGATCTATTTTAAACTGGTTATTACTTAATAAATCAACACAAAGTAGTGCATAATGAAGTAAAATGATAATGTATGGACTTCAAAGCTATTTTGCAAATAAAACTAATAAGTGTGGCATGGATTTGCAATCAGACCTCTCAATGAAATCCACTGCAGCTAATTAGCCTCATTTGGAAGCATATATTAGGATGAACACATTATTACTGACATAAATAAATAAAACTGTCTTCTTCTTCCCCCCCATCATCAGCAAAGATTAACGCTTTTATGATACTTCAGCAGGTTTTAATTTCCTTTGGAAACTCTTGCTGCCAAATTACCAGAGTGATCGTTTAGAGTAAAACCCACCTGACATTTGTTTTCTTGTTTACTATGAAATTAAAATGAAAGCTGAAAACAAATTTCCTAAAAGACAAGACAATAAATGTTGTGCCTAAAATTTCACATCAATTTGCATCTGCTTTGAAAGGCCTTGCATGAGATTTTTGATTTTGAAAATAAAGTGCGACAACAAGCACAAGCGGGATGCATCTGCACCGTCCATAAACTGTGATAGATAATCATCAGCAAAGAGCAAATGATTGTGGCTGATTAAACAAAAAACAACAATATATGGCAGCTAAAAATAATGAAACACGCTGAGGAACATAAGCTGTAGCTTCCCAACCATCTGTAAACTGTGGCTGTCACTGAAGGAAGAGAATTTGGTGTAAACTTCCCTTCAAGTATCATTGTTATCACATACATTCCCATATTGACCCAGAACTTTCCAGCATCTTCCAGACACGGCCGATTTCCAGAGAGCCAAACACATTAAATTCAGCGATACTGATTGGCCAAATTTTTTATTATTTTTCTCTAGCAACTACACACGATTGGCCATTTAGCGCCACTACTGGGTCGCTGTCCAGTTGTAGTAGGGGGTCAAGGTAAATACAACGTTGAATGAGTTATGCTATGTGTTGAGGCGGAAATAATCATTCAAATTATGTAAGCACACACTCTTTAGGAAAATAGGTCAATGCCGCTTGTGTTACCCAGATAAGTCTTTTTTTAGATTTTATTTCACCCCCCCAAGTCTGGGAAAGCAGCACCATAGCGCCCCCTGTGGACCAGTCACCACTGTTTCAGCCATTTCCCCGTCTTCAGCTGGGGAAAGTGTTCTCCACAAACACTTTTCAGATGTTTGTAGAGAACACACAGAAGTGTTTGGTATCTCACTAACTTATATTGCACTTTGCGGTGAAGAACGCTTTCAAAACTTATCAGTTTAGAATAACGTCACAGTCTTAAGGTCCAGTATTTTAATAATCAGCATGCTTGTCTGCTGTCAGTTTATGAGGCACAGTGAATAAAACAGTTCCTGATAAGTAGCCGTCCTTCTGGGTGCACTTGGCCTGACTTCTCAAAGTCCTCAGGACTCCGTGTTGATTGGTGGAAACCTCCTGTTCTGTCCTGCTGGTGGGCTGCATTTAATGTGTCCGTCTCATTAAAACAAGACCCCATTGAGCCGATTCATTTGGCTCAGACTGAGGGGGTCAGCGCAAGACATGACGGGCCACAGCTCAGACAGGAAGTGTTTCATCAAGTCAGTGCAGACCAGACAGCGATGCAAGCGCCGTAAAGACCCATCGGAAACTGGATGGTGCTGACCTTTACCGAAAAAAAAGATAACCTTTGTTGTCATTATTTGACATCTGCCCAATGCAAAAATTAAATATAGCTGCAGAAGCATACAAGGATTTTTTCTCTGGTTTCCCTTTGCAGTTACTGTTGTGTAACTCATCTCATTTGACTTATTTTCTTCTAATTCTACTTGCTGGATTTCAAAATCCTAAAAAGTCTTCCTTTTTCATGTGTCGTCAACAATAATATTTTCCTTGTAAGCTAAATCCTGGGAAGATTTTCACCCTCCTGCCTTCATGTGACTAGAGCATGCTGACTCATCTCCTGTTTACTCCAGTGCTCACCTAATTCATTTATTTGCAAAATGTCTTCATACCAACACACTCAGCCTTCACAAATGTGCTGTAAATACTGCCTTCAAAAGCCATAAATCAGTACTTTCGTGCAAATCTTTGTTCACCACCAATCTAGTCTACCCCAGGGAACTTAAAATGTGGCAACGCAACAAACTGCAGTGGGTTTTAGGAGTATTTTATGTAATGGAGCAACAAAAATGGAGGGAAAACTTATCTTAGAAGAAAAAGGACATATGGCTTCCATTATCATTATTATTTTTTTTACAACCAGTACATGCATGAACTTTCACAGTCTCAGGTCTTTGATAACTTAAGTATTTTTCTCCCAGGATTTCTCCATATTTACTTCCATTTATCTTCCCATCAACTCTTCTCAACTTCCCTGTCCCCGATGGAGAAAAGCCTTCCCACATCATGATGCTGCCACAGTGAGATGCAAAACATTTGCAGACATCACAGGCAAATCTGCATAAACCTAGGCTTACTTTTCATCCACATTTGTAAATAGGCAACGTTCTTAATTGAGCAAAATACAACTAAATTTAGTAATTTGTGGTGGTTTTCTGATAGGAGGGACATGACCAACCAGAGCGGCAGGAAAACCTCCACCCCACCAACCCCATGGGATGTGAATGTTATGAGTAATGACAGGGCCGAATGCATTACTCAACTTGGGTGAGGATTGAGGAGCTGAGGGTCGTTCACACAGGCAGCCAAATGGGCCAGAACCGCCTTCGGTAAGAAATAATACGAACTCTCGTGTTATTTACTTAGTTACATACAAAAAGCTTTACTGAGTAGTTAGACGTCTTAAAACAAAGTCAGTAGCGCTCTCTTACTCCTGCCACTCTGCAAAAGTCCAGAATATTGAGTCTTTGATCATCTGCTATGAATTGGGATTGGCAGGTGGGCCGATCAGTGACAGCGAAAAGCAGATTTTAATGCACAGACTGGCAAATTCCGCCCCCGGCCCCCACTTCTTCCTCCTTTCTGTTGTGTCTGTTCATCAATTTGTTTTCTGCTTAACAAATCTCATGAAACTACCTTCCTCTTGCTTGCAGTTGAGTTTCCCACCTCACTCACCACTTCTTAAATGGTCTACTTTGTCTTTTCCTATAGCACATAGCCCCAGTAAAAGGCATTAAAATTTGAGGAGGTAATGGGAATTTTTTTCTTTTTTTTGAAAATGCTCAAAGGGTACGCAAACTCTATTTTTGCAGCACTCTAAGACCAAAACCACTAAATGTAAACAAGATAAGCCAGGCCCTTTCTGTGGGAAACTGAAGTCAGCTTTAAACCTTCAGGGACTCGGAGAGCGCAGGATGAAAAATGGAGGGGCGAGAGTCAAGCTGGATGAAGGTCAGGCTGTGAGAACGAGTAAACTGTTCAGTCCCTCACAGGAGGCCTTCACCCTCATCCAGACTTAAATTAATCTGCCAGCATTACGCCCTCGGCTCCTTCTTCTCGAATTCGCTTAACGCATAATTTGGCTGCTGTGTGATGTTACCACAAAGACATATTACGAAGCGCCTCTGTTGTTTTGCCTCGTCCTCTGACGGACTGTAACGCTCTGCTGCACGGAAGGAGGAGGCTTGGCTTTGGCGCGTCATGATTAAGCAAAAACGAGGCAGTTTATGAATCATTATTTAAGAGTGCAGAAGCACAGATTAATTATGCAGGTCCCACGGGAGATTGCAACAAACCCAGGAGACCTCTGCCTGCTTCAGCAGAGCACCGCATGTCGGGATGCTGAGACGGCCGCTCTGCAGGAAACCAGTCGGACAAAATTATTTAAACTCAAAACAATCTTATTGTCTGCAACTGAGTTTGCTGGGCAAGTAGTGCATACTCAAGAGATGTTATAAGATAAAACATCAATGAATATCTTGAGATGCCAGATGCAGCTCCATCTAGTCACACCTGGAGATATTGAGTGTTGCATTTCGGCCGGCTTCACTGCTTCAATTCAGTCTGTCTGAACAGCTTTGATATGACCTCTGGGTGGTTGCCATGTCCACCATGTGTGACTAAAGCTCCATTTGAGAGCTCCGATAGTCGCGAGTTTGAGAGAAATAAAAAGCTAGACGGTAGTTTGACAGCACAAGTGCACACTTAGACAAGCGCAAAGCGCGAGTCTAAAGTTGAGCTGTAAACACAAAAAAGGCGACATTAGTCAGCATAGATACTCAGAGCCCTTTGGAGAGAGAAAAAAAAATCACAGCTTTCTTTTAGCTGTAGCACAGGCTAGGCTGTGATAGGAACCATGCTGTGAGCCTGAGAAGCTGCCAATGGCAAGAACATCTTTCAGAGTGTGATAAACAGTGCGCTGCATTGAGGTTAAGTTATTTATTCCACCTTTAGCTTATGCTCAATAAAAATAAATAGCTTTCATCATTTTTTTCCCACCAAATCAACTTAAGCTGGAGAACAAAACTTTTTTTTTTTTTTACTTCTCCAAAACCAGAATGAGTCATTATTTCTAATTTGCACTAACACGACTCAATACAAGCCTAACTTGTATCGAGTTGTACTAAACTGATTCTGCAGTTTTGCCCTCAGTAAAACATCCCCCAGCCCCAGAGAGCTGAAGATACACATGTCAGAGCCGCATGAGTACAGTGAACCATTAACCCCAACTCTGACACCGGGAACACAAAAACAACTTGTTCCCCACTGTGCATTGAAAAGCTCTAACAGACCTCCATGTGTGTGTGAGAGCACTCCATGCGCTCATTCTGCTAGCTCAGCATGGGCGTTCGAGCCTCTTTTGCGGGTGATTAAATATTAATGGGAATTCGGATAAATTTAGAAAGTAAAACAGAAATGGATGCGGTCGGCATCGACCCGATGTGATGACGCCGGGTTTCCAAGAAGGGTGAAAGTGAATGTGAGAGAGACAGTATGGAGCACAATGCCTTTCTGGGAGGAACTTCATGCACACAGTGCCAGCTGAAACGAAAGCATTAAGTGTCTTTACGATCCAACTCAAACAGAGGTTTAAGTTTGTGTGTTTATGTTCAACAAAGTCTATGCCACTGCTGACTTCTTTTTGCTTTTGCTCGTTTTGTCACTCCAGACGGTTCAGTTCTTCAACTAATTTCAAAATTAGGCAAAAACTGTCTGAAAAAAAATATGTGCTTTTTTTCACTCATTACGAGAAAAAGCTATCCAAACCAAGCCACCTATTTCTGAACATAATTGACCCTCAAACCTGATAACTGGTTATCTGCCATCAACCATGAATGATTACTGTCGTTTACATTGCTGTGAGGGAGCTTTGACCTAGTCTTTGGAAAATTATCTTAATTCAGCCACAGCATGTAAGGCCTGTTTAAGGTCATCCAACAGAATCTCAATGGATTTAGTTCACACTTCATCCAAAACCTAAATTTTATTTTTAATTGAGTCCTTCAAAAATGGACATCTGAAGGTCTCAGTGTGAATCATTGCCCTGCTGCACAACCCAAACCAAGGCGAGCTTGAATTTAAGGTCAGGAACTGATGGTTGGTCGGTGGCAGTAAAGGTATTTTCACATTGGTTCAACAGGGCTGGCAATAATCAGTATGTGCCTCATAAAACTATACAACCATCAACATAGAATAAATACATAATTACATTTTTTTAATTTTTTGTGCATATATCACAACCAAACCTTAGATTTTAACTGAGGACAGACAATAACTTCATAATGATTTGGTACTTTTTTAGCATTAAAGCTCAAAAACACGATAAAGGCTTGCAAATAGTTATTACAACACTGCCGTTGTTCCAAGTGACATATCGCATGAATATTTTAAATCACAACAACCCTTCTTGTGTTGAGAAAGAGAGTGGACATTGTTGACTGAGCAACACAGCAACAGAGAGTATGTGGGCGTCTCAAGGACAAAGACTTAGCTACTACTACTTAGCTACTACTTCCACGAGGAAGTAGTAGCTAGTAGCAAGTCTCGTGTTGCAAACACGAGACTCTCCCTAAAACCCTGCCTGGAAATCGACTGAAATGAAAGCGCGAGAAAGATTGCAACAAAGCACCGTGAGGGGATACGGATGCATCCTGTTGTATTGCAGCATGGGAAGTAGATGTGGAAATGGAGAAAACGTGCCACTGCTGCTTCACTGTGATCCGAGGCTGGGGGAGCATTAATGGAGGTAAACCACAGGCTTCTCCAGCCAATCGACCAGTCGTTATATACGTTTATATATAACAATGTGAACACATCAGTGAATTAATCTACAATTAATCTATGTGAACTGGCATCTCTGCGACCAAGCCTCAGATGTGGAATCAGTGCTGTGTAATTGCACTGACGGGTGTGCGGGGCTGCACCGCCTGCGCACGCTCTTGTGGGTGCAGCCATGTTTCAGCTTTTCATTCTCTACTCATCATGACTTGCATCCCCCTGCCTCCACCCCCTACTCTGCTACCAGCATCAACTGTTTCACATGTGTACAATGAACAAATTCAATTCTAACTCCCATATGTGCAGCATGCTGTATTTTAAATTCCCTTCTTCCTGCCTCCTAATTCTATAACTTTGGACCACAAACGTGGTTTCATGAGATAGCTACTGTGAAATTACTGTGAAATTTTGAGTCACACACTGCAGAGAAGTTAACTGCAAAGGAACTGGGGAGGGGGGTGGGGGGGGGTGGAGGGGAGGATGCAGGGTTTTCTCAAAGAGAAAATGAACAGAAGTCATGATAAGCTATAGGCGGGGTTGGTGCCTTTCTCTGTCCACGCCTGTGGTGCTGAAATGAAAAGGCGCTTATCAGTTGCCAACATGTGCACGCTCAGTCTGCAGAGACAGACAGCTGTTCCCAACAAAATGCTTCTTCTCCATTATTAATGTAAATGCATCCAGCTATGTTCTCTTCACGGACATAAATCGCACAGTTTTTCTGCCGAAGCAACCTGCGGAGTCACCGGCCCTCATCCCTCATGCAAACTATATGGGTTCTGCAACTAAGAGCAGCGTTTTTATTGCCCCCTTTCCCCTTACCCCCTTCCACTGAAGTCCTACAGTAACACACACTCACCGTCTCTTTCGCATAACTGTATGGAATCCAGACTCAGGTCCTTGATCATCCCCTCGCAGGGACTTAACGGGCTGGTGATATTGTGCGCCAAGCCTGGTACCTCCATCGCTGCTGGGGGAGTCGGGGAGGAGATGTGGTGATGCTGCCGCTTCGATCGCTGCGCAAATATCGACTTGCAGGTGGACAAAAAAGCCGCTCGTTCGTCCGCGTTAGAACAGGAAGGAGGAGAAGAAAGAGTCCGGTGTCCAGCCCCGCGCCGTCGCTCTCCTCTTCTGTCTCCTGGGCGGTGCGGCTGGTGGCGCGTCAGCGGAATCGTCACGGCCCCAGCGGCGCAAATGAGCCGCCAGCTGCAAAAAGAGGCGACGGGCAGCCTCTGCAGCAGAGGACGCGTTAGTACGCCGACTGTAGCCACCGATCGCTACGCGCTTTCTCGCACTTTTTACTTATTTATTTGTTTTTTGGTTGTTGTTTTTTATTTTTTTACTGCGCAGAGACTGCGCGCCTGCAAAGAGCCGCACGGAGCCACAAGTGCGCGCAAAGTGTGTCGCCTCGGGACAATTGAACATGAATAGTTCAGAGGATTACCGCAGAGGGAGTCTGCAGACTCAGTGGCTTCTTATGTAACCAGATTAGGCAGCTCGGTGTTCCCCCCTCTGTTTTCTGGTCTGCATCCGAACCGCGCGCTCACATGGACGTGTTCTTTTTTTCTTTTCGTTTTTACGTCCAACGTCATCCCAGCGCAGCTTTACTACATGTCCTTATTTGGTAAGGTGTAACCCTCTCTGGTTTCGGAGCGCAGGTGCGAGTGGGCCGTACCATAATGAGCTGGGGGACTTTAATTTACTGCTAACTAATGGTAATGGATGACCAAGCTTAATGGACCATTCTATGGGCCAGCAGTGGTGGAAAACGTCTCTTGGTGGGGGCTTGATGTGCCAATAGATCTCCCTTCCCTTCCTATTGCGCAATAATATTTCTTCATAAAGCAAAAAAAAAAAATAATAAAATAAAATAAAAAAAAATAAAAAGGTCTGATCACTTACTTGCAAAAATATACAGTAGACTATTTAGATAGATGCCGGCTAACTGTATCAGACTCACAACTGTGGAAAACACCCAAACCAATCCGAACCAGCGCAGAAGTTTAAATCTCTAACAATTAGAACGGCCATCTTACCCAGCAAACATTACTATACCAACCAATAGGAAAGCAGGAGAAACTCAAAGAAGGCAACACGCGCATCATTATTATAATGTTTTGTTGTTGTTGTTTTTATTTTAAAGAAATCTTAGCAACATTTATCCAGAGCAGCATTAGCATTTTGATAACCAGAGCAAAAATGCTATGGTTAGCATTGCTGTGGCTTCATCAGACAAACCACGGCGACACTCCTAACTGATTCTGAGTAACGAATCAATGGCAGCAGCTGGATAAAAAAAAAAAAAAGCAAACAACAACAACAACAACAACAAAAGCACAGCAGCTAAAACCGTTCAAACTGTAGCTCACCGTCCAGGGCCATAGAGAGAGTGTTACCAGCCATCTGGAAAGTCCTGCGCTGTCATTCAAAGTGGAGAATTCAACCGCCGTTGTCACCAGCTAGCGGCTTCATCACCATGGCGACGCAAAAAAAAAAAAAAAAAACCTTTCCGGCCCAAAAAACATGGAATTCTGAGACGCTGATTGGGCAAATGTTTATTGTTTTGCCATAGCAACCACGCTTCACTTCGACGGAAGTCCTGACAGGCGGAAGTCCGTCGAGGAGAGTCAGTTTGTGGAAATGTCGGTGATTCAGTCGGCATTTTCAGGCACACAATATAAAAGAAAACTCGCTAATACAATATTTAAAATAAAAACTTTTTATAGGTCGTCTTTATAAGCCGCAACCTCCCCCCCTCCACGTAAAGGAGCGTGGCGCCTCAGCGCCCCCTATCGACCGGCCGTTCAGTGCTTTGATTGGAGAAGTTGTGTCTCTTCAGATGTTAAGCACGCACGGGGTCAACATCATTAACTCTTATTTACTTCGCTTTGTTTAATCCCTCAGCTGCATTTAGGTTTTCATTGCTTACAATTTGGTTGTGAACTGAAATCCTAACAAATTACATTGACAGTTGTAATAGGAGGAAATGGGTCATGCATGCTTTTTGGGAGGCACTGGAATGGCCTACTCAGGTTATCCAGACTTCTTAAGATATAAAAGGTCAACTGCCCCACATTTTATGGTTAAACAGGCTGCAGGCGCGTTGGCCTTGGATCATCGCTTCACCACGCAAAAAAAAGAAAAAAAAGGCTGATCCTGCTTGATTCACTGTTGTCCACACATTCCCTAAAGTGGTTTTGCTTCTATGCACTACAGAGAAACGCCACAGCGATGCAGTGTCACTTTCTATTTGTTATGGCTTCTCCCTGTGTCACACAAGGCGCGGCCGCAAAGCGATTATCTATTCCACTGACAACGCATTCTGCAGCTGTGCCCTCAGATCTGCTGCTGAGCACGCCGGCGAGGAAGCTGCGGCGTGATGAAATGCATGGGGACGTTTTTTTAGGAGGCCAGGCTCTTCATCTCAGCTGACGGGGCGCGTTGAGACAGCATCGTCATCTTAAGTAACACAGCAGAGGGAGATAAAGCCTTGCACCAATTCCTCATTGCCAATTGGTCCATAGTAAAGTAGCTGGTGAGCATTTTTATAAGGCTTTGAGGATTAAAAAAATAATAATAATAAAATAAAATACGGGGTTATGTTGGGCAGGTGAATTAAACTCCTGGTAAGCCCGTAATCACGGTGGCATTCAGATGCAGCCTCGCTCAGATTTCATCTGGGCATTGCTGCGTCTGGCTCAAATTTCCGGCCTGGGAAATGAAACTCGTTAAAAGTGAAGGTCAGTGGCAGGCAGAAGATCCCATCAAACACACAGCCATCTTTATCTGACGGTGAGATGCTGCTTTAGCATACAGTAGATTCAGATAAAGCAGAAAAAAAAATCCTTTTTTTTTTTTTCCCTTTTTACTCAGACTCAGTCTTCTTGCTACTTGTTACTTATTATAATTGAGTGCCTGCTCTGCATTGTTTTGTTCAGGAGCAGCAGGGTGTGAGGATAGTACTGCCCGATTCTAGAGGATTCTTTCCCATCCCACCTCCATCCATCCTTCCTGTCAGCCCTGCTCGGCCTCCACCCACCCGTACGCCCTCCAGCGAGAGTCATCCTGAGTTAACATCAGTGTTTCCAGCAGGAGCTGCAGGGGGAGAAGGAGAGTGACTCTGTATCCTGTGTAACTCACACCAGGCCAATTTCAATGCCGTTGCCTCCTTCTTTACCAAGCTTGAACGTTTCTCTTCCAGTGCACACGTTTTCTGGTTTTATTTAATCTCAAAAACGACCATTTAACTATTACGCCTCCCTCCTCCTATTCTGCTGCTATGGATCTTCTTTTGTCTCACAGCATGCTGTGTTTTGGCTGTCCTCTCTGATTTGTTCACTCTGCTGTGCCTAAAGGCCACATGATGGTAACGCTCCCAGACAGATGGATTATTAGCAGGGAGAAAGGTGCAGATTTTTGGCCAAATAGTAAAATACATCTAAAAAGAGCAAACCAGAGATGTGTATGTAATCTTGAAGCAGGGCGATTTGTGCCGCACTGATTTTACACATGGTAAATCAAAATCCAATAACAGGAAACAAGGGAACATCAGTCAAAAAAAAAACAAACAAGAAAAACAAGCAATGGATTGAAACTAATAATAGAAACAGTCATCAAATGAAAAAAGCCAGTTAACACATGTAAGTGATGAATTCATAAAACAATCAACCTTCATGGAGAAGCTGCAGTTAACAGAGTAAGCAAAACTCTTGATGACGTGTCAAAACGGGTCAGCAGCAGTTTAAAAATTGATTTAGGTTCATTTAGCTTGTAGACGATCAGCGAGGATATAAAATCCATCCTTTTTCTGAGAGTTAATGCAGGGATTCAGTGAATAACTGGATTAAGAATCAATTCTCCAAAAAGTTTATTGATTTCTAATTCAGTCAACTCGGATAAAGCAATTACTTCCTCAAAAATAAAATAACACAAAGTACTTCCGGTTTGCAAAACAAGAGTTGAACTAATTCAGCACATTCCCAGATAATCCCAAAAACTGTTCCAGCTACCACCATAATAATGTGTCAACGGCAAAATAAAAGTTTGCTTTTGCAAAGTGAAATGGTATTTGGAATCCACACCAAGTGACGATATAATCTTAATTGGCTTAGAGCTAATTGGCCTCACTAACAAAACATAACCCTTGTCTCTTTAAGCAGGCATGTTCATACTGGGCTGTGGCATCATTGCATCGTTTCATTAGTTTTATTCCAGTGTAAATAAAACTAATAAAACTAGCAATCAAAATTCAGTAAAATCATGTTTTGCAGCATCACTGCTAAGACGGGTTATTGAAATCTTTTACCTTTATTTTTGGAATCTTTTTGGGGATTTTTCACCACTTGTGCTCCCTCATCTACAGTACAGTCACTATGTAACTATTGTAAAACAGGAAATGGGATGAGAGGCAACGCATTCTTCACTGGGAGACAATAATACAAAGTCTCCAGGGCTCAATGAGACAAACACATTTGTCTGGCATTTATGGGTCACCAAATGAAGCGTGTCATTGATCAGACTGAACTCGACTGTCGCTTGACTGATAATGCTGATGCACGCTGTTGGCTCTCTAGTGACATTCCGGTTTATCTGCACTTCATGCGAGATTCAACTAAAACGTGGTCCTACCCAGCGTCCTCGGAACAAGTGCTCATCTTAATCAGCAAAGAAGAATTAAAAGCAGAGTCAGAAAGGTTATTAGGAAAATAAATCTAATTGGGCGCACGACATTATAAAAACCCTGGAGGGATTGCTCGACATTTAATGAAATAATAATGTTTGGTGCCGAGAGTCTTTTGAGAAAGTAAAATGAAGCTGAAGTGAGACGCAGATGACAAAAAAAGATTTCAGCCAACATCATTATAAAAACCTAGAAATTAATTACACCAGATTATGCTTCTAGGGGTTACTCCTTTACCCCCTTGAGTTTCTTTTAATGCAGGTCACGACCCAGACTTCACACTTGACTGAAATGTTGTAGGACCTTAAGAAAGGTGAGGCGAATATCTCCAATCCTCAGCAAACATAACCAGAGCTTTACGGGCCAAGATGTTTATGACAGTGTAATGTCAGTCTTATGAACAACCCTCAAAATAGAGGGTTCCCCATTCTTATTATGTCCTAATAGATAAAACTCAATGGTGCTGGGTCTTTTTTTTTTTTTTACAACATGGATCAACAACTCATCTACGGCTTGATTTGCAGACCTGCTGATTTGGACGCGCAATTAAACATGTTCCCGAGAAAACAAACACGTTGAAAAGTTGAACGTTTGACAGTAAATAACCTCGACACCTCTTTGCATCGCTTGCAAAGATGCTCTTTAGGGAAACAAAAGATGTGGAACAGACTGTGAGCATATTATCCAGTGGAAAGAAGCCAGGGACGAAGAGCTGGTGTCCAAGTCACAGCTCCTGTCATTTACACCTTCCCTGCAGAGGGAAGCTGCCCGTGAGAGCAATATGTGATGCTGTGTGTAGACTTTGTAGGACTTTAAATAAGGACATCTTAATAATAATAATAAAACACTTCTCTGTAATTTAGCTGTCATTCACTCTCTGCCTCTCACAATAGAACATAAAATCAGAATTAGTCATGCAGGGCTCTCAGATTGATTGCCAGTTCATGCTTCTGCCTTGAGAGGGACTATTAGAGATTTCATCTTTGGTTAAACAGTTTTTCTCCTGCATGCTAAACAAAACCCATTTCATTAGGTAAAACGTTTGCTGAAGAAGCTCAGCTGGGCCGCGTTATATACATATACAACCTATAATTAAACCCCGTATAGCTTTTTATCTGTTTACCACATGCAGAATTGGCGAAGACACCATAATGAGTGTTTTCTTAGCGCGCCTCCCACGCCTTAACCCTGGGCTTCTCAGCTGTAACAGACCAGTATTTACATCCCATTGGTGTTACACAAACACGAGGGTGCTCTGTGTTTTCCCTCCCCTCAGCCCAGCACCTGCTTAAATTAATGAGGGTGGGAGGAGAAAGCAGGTGACTCACTGGCTGCCCACAGAACAGAGTTCAGAGGTACCACCTGTTTCTGCAGGGGGCCTGGATGGGACACACACCGTCTCCCTTCCTCCACCATCTGAACAATGATCCCATGCCATGACAAAGTTGGATCACAATTAAGATCACATTTTAACCACCATACATATTTAAACTCAAAAACACTCTCCTCTTTTTAACTGCAAAATCACAAGATTATTTATTGTCATTGCGACACACTGCAGGCAATACGACCCTCATTTCACTTTTAGAAATGCAAATCCAGACGGTTGAATGTGAGCAACTGTCTTTTGCAATGCTGTTCCAGATTTCTTTTTAAGTGATAACCCTGCCCTCTGGAGGTTTATTGGAGAACCGCATTTGAAAATGATTTATTATTATTTTTGTCAAAGAAAAATTACATTTACAGTAGACAGACTTTTAATTTTAACGAGCCATTAACACAAAGATATATTGTGGAGACCAGATAGCGACACAGGCTGTGTAGAAGACACATTTCCTTTTTTTTTTGGTCAGTAAAAGGAAAGCTCAAAAATGTAAGGTGGTTTTGATACAGCTAGCCTATGCTGAGCATGTGTTGATTAATAATTACGTCTTCAGGTAAAATCTGTACAGAAAACAACAGTCCAATTCTGAGTTTTTTTCATAAATTTATTCCCTTCATATTATTGGAATCTTTGAACATTTTTTTTTTCTTCTGCTGGATGATTTCTGCTTGTGTCTTTGCTACCGTACAGTTAGAATAACATCAGCATCAACAGATGGCACATGAACAGAGCTTTGGCCTCATGGAAATGTTTTACACGCCATTTCTTTCCAGGAACATTGAAAAGAATTGTACCTTTTCTCAGACAAAAAAAAAAAAAAAAAACAACAAAACAAAAAACAGATGTATAAGAAGAAAAAAGAAATACATAATACATAATTCCTGTAGTGGTTTACATTTACTATAAATGTACCATTTGACTGCAGTACAAAGATTCATTCAAATACATCCCTTTGCGAAGAACAATACAACAAGTCTTAGACGTAATTGTGAAAATACTAATAAAGGGAAAGACTTGACAAGCTGATGATGAACTTGAGCTTATTGAATTTCTTTTTTTGTTGTTGTTGTTTGTTGTGTTTTATGCTGATCTGCATTGGAGCTGCAGGAACATGAATCAACACTCACTCCTCTGAGCAACGAGAGGAGACTAAAGCAAATGTCCGCCAGAGCAGGAAGACGAGTCGCAGCGCTGCGAGGGCTCGGATGTACGTACCACGATGAGTCGAGGCGAATCCGGACCCGGGTTCTTCTCTCGGAATACAGAAGCGCACTCTAATTTAATCTCTTCATCACTTCGTAAGACTCAAATGATACGACAGCAAATAAACAAACAAAAACCCTACTGTACCTGGTCTGCATTAGCAACTGTGTCAGAATATTATTCAGTGAAAACGGCTGAAATCAGATGTGAAGAGCGTTGAAAAGTAAACAGAAAAAAGGCTTGAATCGAAAAGCATGAATAACTGATCGATTCCCTTCGTTTCGCTTTGGTCACGGATGGATCGCTGGTTCTTTACATCTAAATTGAATTCAGATAGATATGTCTGAGGGACTTTATACATTCTACTCTCAATTAAACTAATACAGTTCTCTTTCTTCCCTTTTACAATTAATGTACTGCAAATATAAACAAGAACATTACAACGAGCCATTTAATTGCACTTGGAACATGCTCCGGACGCTGGGGAAAGGTGTCGAGATTAAGTCAAGAGATATTTTAAGAACATCACAGAAAATACAAGAATATTTCAGCTATCCAAGTTGATGAACTGCTGGGAAAAGACGTTTTTCCTTTTCAAAACACATTCCTGAAAATATTACAGGAATAGAGAACCGGGAAAGGCTCTGATGATAAACATCAGTGGCATAATCTTGTTACTTCACTGAAAACTGCTTAACTAGGTTTGTTGGACATAAGATTGAGTGGACCGATAATAGAAAAATCTGGATTTTTGTTTGTTTTTCTCTTAAATCTCAGCCCTTTTAGCAAATTTATTTCTCCATATTTGTGTCTAGCATGAAGTCTAACACAAGATAAGTCATATTGACTTTTTGTGTGACGCATGATCTATCTGGACAAGGAAGGTCAGACCAAAATATTAGTGTTATTAACAAAATATCTCCCTGCTGAAAACGTCTTATGTACATTGGCACTTAACTCTCCAAACGCACAGCTTTGCTCTGTTATGAAGTCTTTGCTTTCTCCAAATTAAAAAAAAAAAAAAAACGGCAAGCAAGTCTTGGCAAAGCGTCTCACATTCCGGATACAAGCAATATAGTCGTGATTTAAAGCACATGGAGCTGACAAATAATAGATGAAATATGCACTATGAGCACAAAACAAAAAAAGAAAAACGGAGAAAAACGACTGCTGACACGATCAGAAAGAGGACTCTTTTAAGGCTTAGCCTGACCTCACTTTTTTCTGCTGCTGTGTTATGGCACAGCCATATCATGGCTCCACAGATTGAGGGGCAGAAACAAGTAAAAGATGCAATAAATGCCAAAAATGAAGACAAAATCAAATCATAGAAACTCACCATGAACATATAAAAACACATATGTAAACTGATTAACAAGAAACATTCCACTCATTCGCCTAAAATAGTAATAAAACTAAACATAAAATCATAATGCGGTAAGAATACAAAAAAATCGAGTTTTGCTTTGTCTAGAGATACACAAACAAAGAGGAATGTCATCCTAATGACACTCTGAAGACAGCCAATGGTAAAAGGCCACAGGTATTTCCTTTGGTTTATTTTGTTTAAAGAGACAGTTCAGGATTTTTGAAGTGAAGTTGTGATAAAAAAAAAGCTGTAAGCGGTTAATATTTTACTTGCAATAGATACCAATATCATCCGGTATAAATCGCGATAGTCTGAAAGAAGTCAAATGTGATGGCAGTAAAACAGCCATGTTTTCTAAGGTGTTAGAAATCTGGTTTATAGTTGGCTTCAGCTAGGATCAAACACCTGCAATTATTTATATACATAAAAAAAAATTATCTACTCAAGTTAATATTATAACTGCTTATAACTTCTTAAGAGAACCTCACTTCTTAAATCCTTTACTCGTCCTTTAAAGTGGGTCGAGTCACCGCTCCGGTGAGGTGACCTGCTTTATTTGGTGGAGCCCTAATCTCATTGGCTAAGTGCTTCCTTTTCATTATTATTATTCTTTTTGGTACAAAACGCATCTGTGCTTTTATTCAATGAAAAAAAAAGTATAGTTAATATTCCTTCATTGTAAGGAGTAAGGCTCTTACAGGCAAAAATCTAGTAATAAAGTGCATGTCACTGATACAATCGCATAACACGAATGCAGGTAGTATCAATCTGTAAAAGGATTGTACTAATCATTCTGCCTGTTCCCTTAATACAAAACACGGTGAGAAATACTGGACATTACCCTTCTTCAGAACCACAACGTTACCCTTCAATAGAAATGCTCTGGAAGGAGTTAACACTGAAACATCCCTTATCTTTAGTTGGCACTTAAGGCACAACTATGGCTTTTTATAAAAATAACTTCTTTTTTTTTTTACTGCATAATAATGCAACACTTTATAAAAAAAAAAAAGGGAGGGGGGAATACACAACCGCAGAAACTTGGGCACCAATGGGAAGAAAAAAAAAAAAAAAAAGAGAACAGGCGGCTGGTCTTCATGGACGGTTTCCAGATGAGGCCTACCACCGTCCGCTGACGCTGGCCACTTCGGCGTGAAACTGGCGGGAGAGTCGGCCGCTGGCTCCCCCCTCCAGGAAGGAAGACCTGATGGGTGGCTCAAAAAGCTTCCTTCGGTTCTTGTTTAGTTCTGCGGATCCCAAGACAGAAAAAAGAACCACAAACTTTCAACAGAAGCAGAGGCGATAAAGGCTCGATTCCTACCCCCCCTCTGCTGCGAATCAAAGCGCAGAAATAAACACAGCAAGGGAAGTTTGTTGACAATTTTTCCCCTGGCCTCAACCCATCAACAGAGACAAGAAAATAAGATTCGAATCACCACAGACTTGCTCAGATCAACAAAAGCCGTCTTTGCAGCCATCTGGTTTTATGTTTGAATAAGAAAATACATGTAAAAATTGCATGATGGCATCTACGGCTTGTTCATATGATAGGAGAGTTCGGCTTCTGCCAGCATAAACCTCCACTTTGATTCCTGGAGACAGGCAGCTTGCTGCCGCAGCTCTTTTTGCTGGCAGGGGAACAGGAAGCTTAAACTCTTTATAAGAAGAAAAATACATAAAGGATAAGGCAGACAGAACCGTGCATATTTTTGTTTTAAAGGCCTAGACATGGTCAGCAGAGATGAAAGCTGACCGTTACTTGGCACTCTAGCCTTTGGAAAACGGCATCATTAATAATCAGATCAGGGCTCCATATTTCCCCTCGCTGCCTCACCCTGGATCCAACTCTGAAGTTTGTGGACAAAACTTTTGGACAAAATCCCCTTGACAGGAAGCTCTAGCTTCCAAATGCAGCGACATCTCCAGCTGTTGCCCCCTCCAAAATATGATGTCAGTAGTGAGGTGTGACACAAACCACATTCACATGAGACCAAAGAGTCTAAATCAGCAACGATCCAGTCAGGCTTGTTTGGGGGAAATACGGGGAACGTGAACGAAAAATAATTAGTCCAGGCAATCTTTTGCAGGATCAGGCTCCGTTTAGCATCAGATGAAAACCAAGGATAAGAACGCAAGCAGTTATAATGGGTTCATCGCCCGACCCGGCAGGTCCCCCTCCTAAACTACGCCTCCCCAGGTGCTTCCCGTCGGCCTCAGCATCGCCGGCGATCTGTGCGCATGGACCAAGTCGGCAGTTTTTCAGGATGAAAACCAAAAAAAAGATGAATCATCTCTAGACTAGCATTTTAGCTTCAAGGAGAGGTCAGTATTTATATACAAAGTTTCTTCATACATACCTGAAATGGCAAGTAGCATTTTCCTGCGAGCACCAAAGGTGGTGATTCCTAGTTCCTTCAGGTCCTGGTCTGTTAGAGTCAAGAATGTCTGGAGGTCAATCTAAAAAAAAAAGGGAACCATTAGCAAAAGATAAAATTCTACTTATAAAAAATATTTTTAGCCAATTATTTTGACCAGCATATCATTGGAAGATATGTATTTGACAGGAGCTGGCAGAGACAAATAATTCAAAATGTGGTAAACCTCTTTACTCATGTTTCTTCTTGATTATCCTTTTGTGTTATTATAAATATTTCATCAACTTTAGTTCTGATCCTCAAGAATTTGGGAAATGCAGCCCTCAGCAAATATACAATAAAGTGTAATGAAGGGATCATCTTTCCCAGATCCCAGACAATTGAAGTTTAAATTCCCATTGTTCTTCTTTTAAGAAGAATGGCGCAAGTAAAGACACAGCCGTTCTTTTTCTTCACCAGTTTGAGTGGAGTTTGTTGCTGCATGAGTTTGTATGACGGTATTCAAACGAACACATTCAGAGTTCAGACAAACAACTGAGTGGACTAAAAGTAGAAGTAGAATAAAAATAAACAAACAAAAAAATAAATTCTGGTGCAAATAAGTGAGTCACTGCATGATAATAACATCATTGCTCAGCATTTCAATTCCTACAATCATAGACATTTGGCTTGGTCGAAGCTTTGACAAAGCATAGAGATGATTTTAATAAAACGTGAAGTGACGGAACAAAAGACGCTCTCTACCTCCTGCTGCTGGAAGACGTCGGTGTACTTCCCTAAGCCCAGCTTGCTGAAGAGCTCAGGCAAGTCGGAGCCTTTCAGGGATGAATTCAGGTTGCAGCCGTTGCTTCCGGTTACCGAAGAGATTGAATCCATGTAGTTGCTGCTGCTGAGGTAATGCTCTGCAGCTGCACAGGCAACAAAGGCAGAAAAGGGAACAACTAAAAGAGGATTCTGTTTATTTGTCACATTATTATTAGAACTCATGCAAAAAAACAATATTGGACCTTTTAGTTTCATTATTATTCTAGGGTAAATTTTTAACAAATGCACCCTGGAATAATAAGGAAAAAATATATATATTTATTTGAAAAGTTTGGAGATAGAGCCAAGAAAGGTCAACAGAGTGGAGTAAAGATGCAACAAAACTGACCAGATTTGTTCTGCTTTCTCTTCGGGCTGCTGACCGTGGAGGGAAACTCTGTGTGGTTCGGCAGGCCGTTCCCGTTTCTCTCCCTCCAGTTGTCCGAGTCGCTGCCGTTTCCCACGCCTTCCCGGCTGCCGGATCGAGACAGGGACAGTGGGGAACCCTGGAACGCAAGAAAAGGAGACAGACAAAATATTTGAAGAGTAATTCAAAATGCATTGTTAAAATACACAAAAAATGATTTCGAAAGTAAAAACCCAGCTGACATGTTTCTATGCAGTCTTGAAAAGTATGCAACTTAATTTTATATGACTGGATAAGTATGAACAAATTTTGAATATTCAAGATTTAAAAGAGATCATAATTTGACTTTACAGGGTGTTTGTGATGGAATATTTACTTTGTCACATCAACACATAAACCTTAATGCAGCTTATTGATTATGCTTGTTTTTTTAAGTAATCAAAAAATCTGGAAGTGTCAATTCACTGCTTTACTGGCTTCTGGGTTGTTTTATATCTGTCTCTAAAAAATTTAAAGGTTGTATATGTCACATAAAACAATCTAATCCAAGTTTTTCCACATTATTAAAAATGTATTCAGATGACAAAACTAAGTAATTCTTTAACACACTGATAATTCAGTACCCAGCTTCAGCGCAGCACTGCTTCATAAACTGTAATAAAGACACACCCATATGTTTTGTACTCAAATACAAATACTGTAATAAAAGTGATACAAAGCATGGCACATTTTTCTTTAAACGCCATATTTGCAGTAGCCATGTACAGAACAAATGGTAACCCTTCTAAAGGTGTGTAAACAGAGAAAGTGATAAAGTGTTTTAGGGCTGCTGCTGACGCTAAAAGCATCATTTTTTTCCTTCTATGCCTGACCTCATAAGTGGTGCCCATGCTGGGTTTGTACGGGACATGATTGGCTCTCCGCAGCTCCTTGATGGTCTCAGCTGGCATGGACTTTGAGAAGCCCAGACCGCTCCAGGTGTTGGTCGGGGTGCGCACCTCCGTCACCACAGGTTTCTTTAACATTGCTTTAATTAAACAGATAATCCATGGTCAAACAGAATAACGGCAAACATTTGTAATTTCGTTACATTTCACAGACTGACCTTTGGTCGCCAACAGCTTTTTCTGTTCGTAGTCGAACGCCTGAAGGAAAACAGGAGAGAACTTTGTCTCTTCATATTTAGAACAGAAAGAGTAGAAAGAGTTGTGTCAAAATGTTTTACCTGCATGTTAGCAAAAGGAGTCTGCGGCGCCAGTCTGATCCTCTCCCTCTCGTTTTGCTGTGCTGCCCGTTCGGCTGCCCGCTCACTGCCCGGTGCCCTCTTGTCCGCCACAGGACCGTCCGACGAGCTGGACTCGGCGTCCGACAGGAGGCAGTCAGAACTGGCAGAATCACAAAGAAGACAAGAAGAAAAAAGATGCAATTTATGCCTTTACCTTTCATTCCATCTGTCGATGTAATCTTTGAGGATGTCTTGTGATTAAGGGTTATGGGATGATTCTAAGAGGCCACAGTTGGCTCTTTCTGCAACACTCCTGTCCAGGTTTGGTGTGCAACACAGTCCATGTGGCAGCCAACACCTAAAACTCCTAAATCCTCTTTCACTCTGCGGGGATAACTAACCATCTGTCATTAATGTAGTAACATCTTGCCTTAATTAAAACAAAATCTGTAGATTTGCGTTTCATTACAGCCAGATACCCTTTCATCCAAAAGAGAGTAAGAAAAAGAAAAAAATCTACTGGGAGACGCCAAGGATCTTTATAGACACAAACATACTGTAGATGGGAGTTCTTGGTGCCCTGCAGGAGCTCCACAGCCTGTCGCTTCCCAGATGACGTCTTGCACGAAGCCAGCATCTGTTTCAGCTCGCTCCCATTGGCTGAGTGAGAGGGGCTTCTCGGCATGCCCACTTCAACAAATGTGTCAGAGCCTGAAGAAAAACAAAACAAAAACGTTTCCCTGATATTATGCAGACATTGGAAAAAAATTGAAAAAGTCCTGAAAACAACAGTTGAAATAATTCAGGTTTGAGCCCAACTGTGCCATTATGCGTGCGAAGGCGAGCGTTAACATTTTAGTCGGATGATGAATTAGTTAAAAACGCAGCGGCTGTGATGGTAATGATTTTCATATGTCACTCAAATGAAAAAAGCTGCTCTGAGCACATCTGTGTGCGCGTGCATTGCATGTAAACACGACTACATAAACCCTGTGACATAAAATACGGTTTCAGTGCGGTTTTGATGTCTGCTCACACGATCCTTGGTGGAGGGTTGACATGGATCGCCCGGGCCGAGTCCAAACACATTCTGGGCCACAGAAGGAGGTGAGAGAAGGCGGTAGGAAAGCATACCAGGACGCACCAGGAAGAAGAGAGTCAAAGCGGCTCGGAAAGGAGCTGGGAAAAACGAGACGCGTGAGAGTGGAGCTTTTGAGGGCAAAACCCCACGAGTGTGAAACGCAGAGGAAATGAAGGCCTTTCTGAACCGCTAGGAGACCAGCAGTTAACCTGTCTCCGTTCCAATAAATGCAAAGCACGAGCGCGGCCGGACGTTATAGAGGAAAAGCAGAGAGAGACGTTAGCTTTACACATTTCTCTCAGTGTGGTTTTCAGAGCGACATAAATCTCAAGCAGAAAAACGTGATTTTGGACGTTTATGCTCGGTTTGGTTGGCAGAGCTCCACGAAAGCGCAGTTGAAAATGTTAGCATCTCAAATTTTTAGTCCGGCCAAGGTCGTAATAACCCATAAATCACATTACTCTGTTTAAACATACATGATGGAGGAAGTGGAACAGGGCTGAATGTTATGAATGGGAGGCACATTTCTGAATACAACCACAACTGCTAAGGTGCTTTAATCTAGTTCAAGTATTTCATACCTCATGACTGTTTTTTTTTTTCTTATTTTCTCACATAGCAGCAACTAAGTTTAATGCATTTTATGAGAAATTTATGGAATAGACCAGGAATATTTTTGAGTAGGTATAAAACTTGACACTTGAAACTGACATTTAGGACTGTGTTCATTACCTGGCTTATGACAGACTTCTGACCTTTCTTCCATAAAGGGCAGAGTCTCCTTCCAGTAATACTGATGGACTGAACAGTGCTCTGCATAAAGCTTGAAACTTGGAATAAAGTTAAATAGACTTGTGTAGCACTTTTCTAGTCACAAGATGAACCTTGACAGGCTGTTTCTATGTGTCTGATTCTCCCTTGTGCACTCACAAACATGCACTGATACAAAGATTTTTACGCAAAATCACAACTTTATCTATGACGTGTTATGACGTGCATGTTAAACAGCATGTTTAACATGCTGTGTATTTACTAAAGTTCTCTAAAATACTGACAGACACGTGAGGCTCGATATTCAGGAACAGTAATGTGATCCTATCTAACGGAACAACATCCAGCATAGTTGCCTTTTTGTTTGACGTTTTTACCTTCGTCTGGGTTGGACTTGCTTGACAGCGGCTCTGAGGGACTGTGTCCACTGGCCTCCTGGGCCGAGTCGCATGGAGTCTGACTTAACACGGTTTCTGTGAGGGATGCCGTCGCTAACCTTCCGTAACCAGGATGCTACGCGAGGAAAGATGACAATACGAGAAGATATTCAATCACTTCATTTACAGCACAATTGAGTGACGGGTGGACGAATGACGACGTGAGGCTGACCTTGACGTGTCCGTTTAGCGTGCATTCAGGGACCCCGTTAGGCTGCTTGTCTATGGGGGCGAGGCCGGGCGGAGGAGACGGCGTGCTGTGTGTGTAACCCGGCACGCCTGACATCAGGATGCTGCTCAGGGTGGCCTGAGCTGCAGGGTGCAGCACCAACTGGGACGTAAAGCCTGCAACAAAAGATGAAGTAAAAGATGAAGTCTGGACGAACATCAGATGGCAAGCATTTCATACCTCAATAAACATTTGAGGAAAGAATAATTTTGAGAAGTTGTTCTGTGTACAAACTTTGGGTGCTGGTGAGCGAACTGGGCCACATGGAGGGGCCCGGTGTGGGGGTGCTGGGGCTCGGCGTCTGCAGGGGGCTCAGAGCCGAGTTCAGGCTGTTCAGAACAGTGTTCGGGGTGGCCGAGGCGGGGAGGGAATGGGGCGCTGTCGCACCTAGGAAACCTGCGGCGATCACGAGACAGAGGAAAAGAGTGAGATCGACGGTGGTCCCGTCGAAGCGCAGGGCCATTTTTCAAGCTAATCACACATTTCGCTGAGGCCCTCAGAAAACAATCTCAGTTTTCTGGCTATTTCACTGGAATTCCATCAAACTGCGACCAGACAGCAAATGAGAGGAAGAATGTCTTACATCTGTCCAAGGTTGTGGAAACAAAAGCATATATCCAGCATATCATCATACCCAATAAACCCATGTTAGTGAAAAGCACCCAACGATATGGTGCCTGGTGTTCTAACCCAAACACAGTGTATGAAAACAGAAAGAAACAGGTCTGTGGCTTTCACAAGGGGCTAGTTTGGCTCCAGGAATAAGACCCGGGATTCTTCTGGCAGGCTGGCCTGTAATCTGAGGAAAAGAAGCATGTAGCAATTACTAAAGGCCAGGATGTGGCCATCCACAACTTCACCCCTGGGCCCCTGGGTTTAAATGAAACAGCGAGAAAACGTCTACCGTAGCGGGTTCCCCCAACCAATTTACACATTTTAACTGAATTTATTGAGGAGAGTGAACAAAAAAAAAAGGAAAGGGCCACATGGAGGGAGCCACACACTTTATATTTTAATAATGGTGATTTAAAGGGCAAAGGAAAACTGAAGCATCTGAAATATTAATGTTAAAGAGAGTGATGCATAAGGCTTCCTCCACTGATACGATAGCGCCCTCCACAGCCCTGAGTGTCCACTACTAATCATATTTAATTGTGTAAATAATGAGAACGCCTGGATCAAATCTGAACCAAATTAATATTTACAGATTTAAGTCTCTATAAGGCTGCACTCTCTATAAATACTTTTTTTCCCCTTTACACGTTGATTGGATTAGGACATTTTGTTGTTTATTTTCATCATGATTAACATTCCGAATATTCAGGGATTTGCAAAATTATTAATATTAAGAACTGGATGGTAAATTACCATCTGGATGTGGTCATCTACACATTTAATTATTCGTGTGAAATGCAAAAAAATATATGTACTTAGATATTACTTTGTGAGACACAAAAAAGTGTGAACATTATGGAACAATTATTTAAAAAGAATTTGGTGAAATGATCAGCAAGTTGAAAAAAACGTTAATAGGTTATAAAAAATAAATAAATGTTCAAAACTCGAGACATAATTAATTACACAAAATAGGACTAAATTCTTTTTAAAGACAAAAACTTCCAAACTTTCACACAAACTGAACTCTTGACCAGGATGTTAGTGAGTCATGCAGAAAAGCTCTTAAAGTGAAAAGTTATTAAACATCTCAAAATAAATGTTTATAATTTTTCTACAACTATATGTACCCTGATGTCATTGTCTCATGTTTTGCAAATCAAAGATACACGTGATTCAGATCAAGACGACAATGGCAATCCTATGGTATTTACATCTCACCTAGGATTCTACAGAAACATCCAACATCGCACTTTAGAGACATCTGCGATACTGTGAAGGCGTCACCAGATTCTGACAGGACGTAAAATGTGATTTACGAGGATGTCCACTACACTGTCAATAAATCACATCTCTGATGCACTTTGTGTGACCAATAAAAGAAAAACATCTTATCTTTGGAAACTGACTGATCTTTTCTACATCATGGAAAAAACATCTGGAACCGCACCAGAAGCAGCTTAAGAAAAAAAACAAAGAATTTGGACAGCATTGTTACCCAGATTACTCAGCCCCAGGCCAGCTGAGGTCAGGATGTCCAGGCCAACGGGGCATATGAGGGACGGCGATGGACCATTAGTGGTGGGATTCAGTGGCAGGGAGGGTGAAGAACAGGACACCCCGTTGCTCTCGAGACCCAAGAGGAAACGGCGAGCTTCGTACATGTTGACGGCGTTCCTCTCCACACTCTTCACTATCACGGACTGGGAAAGAAGACAAAGGAGATCAAAACACAGTTGGGATAAAAATATATGGTGAAGAGGAGAAATGAGCAAGGGGACGAGGAGAGGGGGGGAGGCATGAGAAAGAAGCAAAAATAGAGGAAAGCACACATGGAGGAGTGAGGCATAGATAGGATAGGGAATGTTGGCACCAGAGATAGGGAGTCTGAAGGAGACCGAGGAGGGGGACAACAAGAAATGGGAGGAAGGAAGAGGGAATTAAGAGCAGATTAGAAGGATAAACATTAAGGCAGAGTGGGAGAGACATGGGAGCAATGTTCTAGAGAAAGCATTTCTTCATCAGCTGCTAGAAATCCATCACCTATCTCACTTTTTGACAGGCGAATATTATGAAATATCTAATACACTTAATGTCGGATGAAATGTAAGACATTTAATCACGAAAAGAAAAACAAAACTTTCTGCGTTACTGGAATCCAAACCCGTCATAATACTCAAAATAAATCTGTGCACAACGCTGCCCCGAATTTGACCATTTCGGAGCTTTTGAGAAGCGATTCCCAAACACGATCACTCTCGCTGACACAAACGTCTTTGCCAGTGCGCCGCGAGCGCTAACACTACAGCGCACACTGGCCTGGGCCTTCAGGGGGACTGCAGTCACCTCGTTAAAATGCTTAAGTGAAGGGTTCCTGAGTAGGTGTGGGCTGGGTCTGTGTTTACCCTGGCACCTCTGCCGAAATCCCTGCAGAGCTGTCTGCTCCGGGCACAGAGCCCCGGTTCAGGGCGGGACGCGGGCACCTCAAAGTGTCTCGTCAGGACTTTAGCTAAGTGGTGAAATACGATTAGAAATATTAAACGTTGTTGAGAGGGAGAATGTGAGCAAAACCAAAAGCATGTTTTTTGAATCTGAAGCTGGCTGTGGTTGTTTTAGCAGACTAAAAGTCACTGGATGGAGTTGAAGGTTTGGCAAAACAGCCCAACTTGCTGCTTTAATGTATTCCTTGACAGAAAAGTGTTAATCTAAAAACGAGCAGCTTATTTAGAAAGGCTGAGAAAGAACATGAGCAAAGTTCCCATCAATCAGGTGGAACATGCTTTGGCAGCCCGTTCTGCAGAGGAGACAGCCGGCTCTCATTCCCCACTGTGGCAGATGTCTGATTGCCAGAACTCTTCCCACTGTTGGTACTTGGTTCCAGGTTTCCTCTTTCAGCTCTGTTCGACAATAACAAAATGCAGCAATGCAAATTTATTTATATTTTTTTATTTAGATGCCACACTGTGACAACTGATGGAAAATAGTTTGGAAATGCCACAGTGGCTTTTTTTGTTTTCGTAACTCAACCCGCTTTTACATTTAAATGAGACAGAAGCTATGTTTTTCCCAGGGAGAAATCTTAACACATGTTGCCTTCTAAATATTAGGGTTAGCTAATGTTTGATTTTAGTCAATCTGAATTCTAAGATTTTCCATCAATCAGAGTAAACTATTTCCTGACAAAACTCCTCACAGTTATTTGTTTGCTGCATAATAATTTACATAAAACTGCTCTTTAATTACGAACATAGATAGTGAGAAGGCTAATGTCGAAAACAGACTTTTTCTGCATTTTTTTAACCTCTTTTAGGCTTTGTAACCATCTTAATTCATTAATTCCTCTTAATTCAAAAAGGTGTCTGAAACATTCACTTGAGATTGTGTCTATATTGACACGACAGCCGTCATGCACTTGCTGCAGATTTGTTGGCTCACATCTGGTGAATAAATCTCTGGTCCTCTACATCCCAAAGAAACTCTATTAAATTAAAATCTGGTGACTGTGGAGGTCGGCATAATACAGTCAACCATTTTTAAACTATTAAGCTTTGTGAAGTTGTACTCTACACTGCTTGAAGTAACAATCCTTTATGATAACAGTAATCATAATGGAGTAGACATGGTTAGCAACAGTAAACAGGATGCCTGTGGTTTTTAAACAATGCTAAATTCTTACCAAGGAGCCAAAAAAATATTTCCCCACATCATTACGCCACCACTGGCAGCCTGAACCGTTGAAAAGACGAGCTACATTAGTATGTGGAGTCCCATACCTTGCTGGGTTGCTTTGGCTTTGGTTTGATGCTGATGAAGACATCCAGCTGCTCCATTAGTGCCGTGATGCACTGAGGTTCCACCTCGATGTCCTCTTTGATGTCAAACATTAATACCAGAGGCAAGCAGCCCTGGATACAAGGAAGAAAACAGGATAAAAAACAAACCCCTGCAGATTCTTTCACACTGTCAGGAGCACAACGACACTGCTTAACACCATGGTTGCGTTTTATGCCCTATTTGTGTACTCAAATTATACACTTTCTCAAACCAGCAGTAAATTGTCCCATATACGCTACCATTTATAGACCGATACGTTAGCCATGCCAATAAATACGAGTTTCATGGCAGCATGCGACCCGTTGCAGCCTTCGGGAAATTCCGACAAGTTAAATCTCTTCTGCACGATCACCACCACAAGCACCACAAAGATCTGTATTTTGGGCTGAAAACTGGATGGCTCTCCGATTGAGAGTGGGTGTAATTAGCAGCAGAGTATATAGAGGCAGGCCGGCTCTGACAGGGCCCTCGGACCGGAGCTGTAATCTACCGTCTGGCCTACAGGCAGGAATCTATAGAGGCCAAAATCACAAAGCCATAGGACTGCGGGTAGAAGTCCTCTCCCTCTCCTGCGTCGTCTTCTTTCTCTTTCTACCCTCCCAGTACTCCTCTTTAATTCACCTTCTCTGCTGTCTGTGTTCATCACCCCTTCTATTACTCCTTTACTGTTCAAGAAGAGAGGGATCGTCTTGTGTGTTCTCTGAAACAACTCTGGCACTCCCTCAGCGTCTTTAGGACCAACTGGGAGACCACAGACAAAGACAAGCAGCTTTTCTTGAACGACTACACCGCATTACGGATCTCCCGACAACAACCCATACGCTGTTTACAACAGAGAAGTCCTAACTAGTTTAGCAGAAGTTCAAGCCACTGGTGATTAAACAGCCATTACTTTTACATATCTCTGAAACAGACTTCTTATTATACACCAAAGTAATTTAGGAAAGAGTAGCCTCAGTGGTTGAGGGCAACAAGTCAAAAATGGCCACTGAGCATTTCTGGACAAAATGAAAAAAATTATGAGGTGCTACTCTTGATCCAACACATGGATGCTAACGGAGGATTTTTGTGAAGCGGAAACATGCGGACGAATTCCAGCTACATGCAGGCCAAACCCTTATCATTAACTCTAATTAGAAAAGTATGTACACAGACAAAACATGAAGCCAAACTAATTTAGCCGGACTCCATCCTGCATGCAGGTATGTAGATACTACGATCACACAATGTAACCTTGAATCAGAAACAGATTCTCTTTATGTCTGATTTGAATATTTCAACAGAGGAAGAAGAGCCAAACAAACCTCTCTCAAGGCTGCTCACGACCCATGAGCCAATCATGTGAACCCCCCCCCATTAACTCGATTTGAAAACCACGCATCACTCAAACACACCATGATAATGTAAATGAGTCAGAGGCATCCATAATAGCTACCACAAAGTCAAAGGAATCTGCGTATGTAAGGAATATGCTACCACTAGCATCCCCTAACCACAAAACAATGTTTAGTTTAAAGTAATCCATTTCAACCGTTGGATTGGATGTCAATTAAAAAAAGAAATGCAAAGAAGTCACGTACCATGAGATACTGCCGCGCGAGGCAGACGGATTCGATGGTGCCCTGAATGTAGACGGTGGATTTCTTCTGGGGACCGTTGGGGTCGGGAGTGGACTCTGGTCTGATGTGCTTGATGTGTGCCGTTGCGTCATAGGTGGTGCTGCGGCGCGCGAGGAGGTGGGTGGGAGGGAGAGAGACCGGCCAGATGTTAAGAGCTGTGCCTCTCTGGGGACAGAGAGTGGATTATAAACAAATCTACTTAACAAGTCAAGAAACTTTCATTAATTCTTATATGCACCACAGACACCTTTAACTCCTGCAGTCAGTGGCAGAGAAAATGCTTTCTCAGTCTTAGTGATATCCTTCTGTAAAATGTCACAGAAAAATCAATAAATCTTATTTAATGAGTCAATTTCAGTAATTCAACCCAAAAGGGAAGGTTGTGTTATATGGATTCATTACTCATTGCTCAAGCTATTGAAAATGTGAAGCTCAGTTGAGTATGTCCAGTGCATCTGGAGAATATTCACTTTATCCACATTTCATCAAGCTACAAAATTTGCTTGACAAGGTTGAGTTAAATTGATTTCCTTCCTCAAAATTCTACACTCAAATGCCTCTTTATGATGATACAGAATAATTTTTGTTTCAAAGTATTTTTGAACACTTCCTGAACATGATGCTACAAGCTTAGCACATCTATCTTTAGGCCGTTTGGCCTATACTTCTTTGTAGAGATGACTCTGCCGCCATTTTCAGATGCTCAATCAAATGCAAGTCTGGACTTTGGCTTCTGAAGCACTCCAGGACATTCATACAGTCATTCTGTAGATTTGTGCCTCAAGACAATTCTGTCTCCAAAGCCAAATTGTCCTTTGCACAAAGCGAATTGCACATACTGATACTGCAATGCTGAAATATTTGTAATACACTGTGCAACCCTACACTTGATGTGAAATTTAACAGACTTATTCTTTGGTGCCTCTGTGATTTGTCTCTGAGCAAGCCTTTTCCAGTGTTTAACAGGAATCCACACACTGTGGCCAGCAAATGACAACAACCCAGAGCGTTTTGGGCAACAGTCCAACTGTGCTCCGAGGGTCTCACACTACCACACAACATAGCTTACATATTCTTGTGATCCTTTAACCTCCATCTGGCACACTTCCCAAGCCCTCAAACCCAACCCATCAGACCTACCCCAAAGTCAGGGATAATTCTTGCATTCTCTTCCATTCGTTGCACTGAGAACAATGCAATGCATTAAGGCTGTTCGGCAAGATGTGATTTGAGCCAGAAGAGATGCATAAATGTGAAACAATGGGTTGTAAATGACGATATTTGCAGAAAACAATGATTGGAACAACAACATGTGTTCCCAGCCAAATGATTAGTTAGTAAGGTTGTTTCCAATTACTGAAAGGAAAATTTTAAAATACATTAGATCAATGAGCCATTTGAAAATCTTTAAAGGGGTCTTTATTTCCCATTTAGAGTGCATTTCAAAAGTATCCATATCCCCTTTAACACAGTTCCAACAACAAATGTAAAAGTATTTTTTATTATATGTCAAAGAGCAACACTAAGTACCACACAGATACAAAGTGGTAGGACAACCACATGTTTCTTTTTGTAATATTCTACAATATAACTGAGAAGTGTTTTGTGGAGAGATCTAAAGCAGAGTTAGGTTTAAAACCATATTCCAAGCTCTGAACATTTTACTAAACATGGTAAAAACAAAGAGGCAAAACTACAAATCTGACAAAGCATATCAGTCCAATTACACTGACTGACTGGGCAAGGAGAGCATCAACTAGGAAAGAGACCAATGACAATTCCTGAGCTGCCAAGATCTAAGGTTCAGGTCGGAGGCTGTGTTATCTGCATTAGTTGTGAGCTTCACACTGCACACAGGTAGAACTGATGATAAGACAGATGGCACTGAATTCAGTGCAACACTCGAAGAAAACCTGTAGAGACTGAGGTGGAGGCTTAACCTTTGGCAGAATAACAACTTTAAACACACTCTCAGAGCCACAATGAAAGCACGATCATATGATACAATGAAAACCTGAGTATATTGGGAAAACCTATGAGCTGATTCATTGTTTCTACATGGCCATGTAACTAGTAATTCAGTTTGTTCCAATTTTTAATCATTTGTATAATCAAATGAAGTTAAGATTCTTCAAAATAAAACATTCCTTAAAAAACAGAACTAAAAAATAGTAACTAAAACCCCCCCAAAAAAACTCCCAAAAAACATTTGCACTCAACAGCACCTCAAGACTTCGCTCACCTTTACTGCGTTAACATTATTCTGTGAACCACGAATGACTCCGGTGGCCCTGTAGAGACGCGTTGGGGGCTTGAAGGAAACTGTGAGGTTGTACGTTTGTGAGATGTGCTGCACAGTGGGGGAGCTGGGGTCTGACTGCATGATGGCTGGAAGCTCGAAGGACAGCACGAGCGGAAGCAGCTCCTGTAAGGCGAAGGGATGACAGGAATGATAAAAAGCAAACCAGCAGATAAAAACTATCATTGTTTTAATCTAATGGTTACCTAAGAACTTGTAGCTGGTAGATTATGAAAGTTACCAAAGCCAAATTTTGCTAATACAGACTAACATAGATGTAGTAAAGCAGCTTGCACCACAACACATCAAACAGCCTTATAAAGACCAATGGGAGATGACGTGACACAGCAGGGATAGGGTGATTTCTGTTCATGTCAGAGACTTAAGACAGCTGACGCTCAGACAAAACAGCCAATTCCTTTAGCCAAAGGTGGCATAACTTCACATACAACTGTCAGGTCAATCCAGACAAAACACTGCAATGAGTGAAACTGCAGAGCTCCTGTGTCCATTAAATATTATGGCTCCAGAGCTGCTCAAAATTAGATTTACAATTCGAACAAACATCAGCAGTCGTTAGCCTGGTCATTCTCACACATGTATGAATAAAAAACCGTGCATGGAACCATGAGAGGTCAGTTCTTGTTCAATGTATCAAACACATCCCTCAAGTAGAATAGATGCTGACAGGAAGGCTACACTCATGCATACACATGCATATGCATGCATGCTGGAGAAATTACACTGGCTTACATCCATGTGGATTCAAACTGAAGGGGATATAGAAATACACACTAGCTGATGAATACGAACACACAGTTATCCAAACACTGACTTTTTGGGCAAAGCGCCACTATGGTTTTGGCTGTCAGTGAAGGGCAAGCAACATGAATTGCTCTGACCAAAGAAATGTATCCCTGATCACTCCCATATGCGCCTGGCCTTACATTTATATCACGTTTCAGTGCTCCCTCTCTGAGGGCTCGAGAAATTTAGGTCAGGATGGAAGGCTAAGCAAGAAAAGACAAGCAGTGAGCAGCAGGAGTCAAGCGCTGAATGAAGAATAGACCAACTTTTACTGTGGAGCTGACTTTAGCTTTTTTTTTTTTTTTTTTTCTCCTCCAAAAGCCTACAGAGCAAACAGTTGCACATGTGTTCAATCAAGGAGTACTTCTTTAAAGGCCTTACTTCTACTGACACCGCGGGGGAAAGACGAAGAAAAATGAAAACGTCTTTGAGGTGAAGCAACTGGGCGAAGCTTTCACCACCTGCATGTCCACTCCACCTTCGAATGAACAAGTGGCTTGTTACAAAAGCTGCTTTAGGAAACTGGCTTTATGTCTAAGAATTTAACAGACATCACGTGTATTGTTAAGACAGAATAAGGATCCATTGACGATATTTGGGTCAAATAGGGAGTGGAGAAAATAAGGTCAAGTACATTCTAGCACCACATTATTATGATTGCTGAGGACATAATTATTCACTGTATGGCAGTAAATAATTATTGTACACATTTAAACAATGTGTAAAGTTTCTGAGAAGTTCTGTTAAAAATTAATATATTTTGAGTCTACTCGTGGAAGTGTTTTATGTTTGTTGCTTTAAAGCTAGACTTGTTTTAGCAGAGATTGACAAGCAGAAGAAACACAGGGGAATGAGCAACACAATCAATCACTGTATTGTACACAAATAATATGAAAGTCTCTGTCCATGTGTACCGCTTATGTTTTCATTGGTATTTCTATGGATTTAACGAATAAAACAAAATAAGTCAAACAAAATTCTGTTTCTAACTACATTAATTTCTTCCTTAACCTTAACCCTTTCCATCCATTACTAACACAGTACAAATTTAGTTTGAAGAATATTTAATTTTTTTGTGTTCAAATAAGTTAAAACACAGAGTACCTGTATGTTTTATTTTATGCCTTTAACATTTTTGCATAATTCACAAGCTTTTTTATTGGACGTCCCAAAATACTTTTGGTAGGAGTAATTTTAAGCTTGTAGGACTCCAGACCTAGACGAGATATAAAGGACTCAGCCAGGACTATATGTAGAATAACACATTTACATCTTTAGTTAATCTAAAAACTAAGTAGCAAGCCTCTCCACTGGAACGAACAGAAGAGTTTACATTACCAGATTTTTTTTGTTTTTTGTTCTGGATATATAATATCTGGTAAGATTCTGGGGTGGGATAAAATGCAGCATGCTCAGCATTAAGTGGTGGAATTGCACATTTTGCACATTTTATGTGTGCAATTCCCCTCACTGTACATTTATAAAAGAAAGAATAGAACATTTAAAGCCCAACTTTGAGTGTAAAAGAATAAGTATATTAAATAAGCGAAATAGGAAGTAGATTTAATCAGTTTGGAAGTGTGTCAAAACTGTTTCAGAATGGGTAAAAGCTGAGACAAAAAAAAAATCTAACTGGTTGGATTTCCATGAAATTTTACGCCTTTGAATGCAGCAAGTAAAAAGAGTGCAGAAGCGTTCAGGGTGACCTGCTGTGACTTACTCTGCAGCGCACCGTTCACTCACTCTGTTGTTTTCACAGGCAAACTCAGCACTGTTGGTTCTGGTCAAATCGCAGTGGAGGACCATGTTTGCCGTAGACAGAAATGTAGTGATGAAACGCAGCGCGAGTTAGGAGAGGTAATAGAGCCCCCTGAAAACCAGCAGCGGTGGCCCTCTGGCCACAACTCAAGATGAGGAAAAGGCGAGGGAACGGACGGGTGATGGACTTAACAAAAAGAAGAAGGCTCTAACTTTTATTTTACAACTGATCAGAGGAAGGAGTTAGAGAATGAGGTAGGCTGAGTTGAGACTGTAGCTCTTCTCTTCTTTAGTATTTGGTAAAAAAAAAAGAAAAAGAAGAAAGAAATTAAGGCTATTTTTCCTTATTCTTAGCTGATAGACTTTTGAAGCAAATAAAACTATTGTTTAAATTATTTTGTATTTTTATGAAATAAAAAAGTTCTTTATAACATGCTTAGTGCTACGTATTTACAGACAAGGTAAATATGTACTTCAGTAATTTGAGATATTTGTCATACGCTTAATTTCAACAAAAGTAAAAGAAATATATATTTTAAGATAAATGAGTATTTTCATAAGTAACCCAATGGACAACTGAGATGCATCTCTACATTACTAAATTACTCTTAAAAAAAGCTTTTATAAAAATAAAACTCAATAGATAGATAGATAGATAGATAGACAGACAGACAGACAGACAGACAGACAGACAGACAGACAGACAGACAGATAGATAGATAGATAGATAGATAGATAGATAGATAGATCGATAGATCGATCGATAGATAGATTGATTTACAAAAGTTATTTATATAGATATAGATCCAAAAACTATCCAAACTATCCAGCATTTCTTGTTTTGAATCTTACAGACAGTTTCTGGGTCGACTCAATCGGATCAATATTTCTCTATGGCTGGAACACTTCTATTGATCAGAAACAAAAATTCATCAGTTCCAGTGCTGTCAGGTCTGGTTTATATTTCTAACTTGTTCATGTCTATCCTAATTGAGGCTGTGAAAGAAGGATTTTAGTAATGTCAGTATGTAACAAAATGATAAATGTAACATTAAATAACTAACATGATCTCATCCAAATGCATTTTAGTAAAAGCTAAGAAGAATAAGTGGCACATTTTGGGAAAATAACATGGCAATATCTTGCTCTTTTTCTCCCAACAGAAACAGTAAAACTTTGCTTCGTGAGGATAAAGAGCATAACCTTTCATGGGTGTGAGGCATTTAAAATTCAGGGTGGAGTATCCCCATTAGGCAAAACTGGCGGAGCTCCAGCAGCTTACCCTTATTTTTACACGTGCTGCCTCCACGCCTGCTGGCTGCCCTGCGATAGACACCTGTTAACAATAAAAACATGAAAATGGGTTAGCCAGTTTTGGCAGCAATCAAAACTTGATAATGCCAGAAATGCAGTGCATCAATCTGTACTGAGCTAATTCTTTCCTGTTGCATAATTGGCTACAACTCAGGTAATTGAGTTTTCAACAACAAGTCAAGGAGAGGAAACAGGTAAATATACATGTTGAACACTGTGATTCACAACTCAACCACAAAAATAGGTTGGAATTCATTCTAGCATGACTGATAATCAAACCCTGATGATCAGTTTTGAAATGTAGCAAAAAAGAACAATTGTCTTCTTAATTTAGTTGTTAAGTGCAACAACAGCCCAAGTCCCACGAGATTCTGTCAGAGCTACAAAACAAACAAACAAAAACACATCATTGATTTATCAACCAGTCTACATCTCCTTATCAACACCACCGTCGCTCTCAGTATTGGGAACATATCTGCAAGGTTCAGCTGAATCTGAAAGTGTTTGGCGTCAGAGACAATGAAAAGGAAAGTGCTTAAAGGGGCCGAGCCCTGAAGGGAGTTGTCTTGCCGCTAATCAGCCAATGCTTGCATCATCAGAGAACAACTGGAAGGGATTGAGCACTACATGAGGTCAGAGCACTGAAAGCTTTAACTGTGCCAAACATTCAAACTGTATTGGGCTGCAGAGATCAAACTTGAACTTTTTAAATCATGGATGGACTTTCCAGCGGGCTACACAACGATGCACTGGAGACTAGCTGGTAAAAGATGTGAATGTGACGCTTGACTTCGGCTTTGTTCCAGTAATCACAGGACACTGTACACACACTGAATAAATGATCCAGCCTGGTATCTTATGACAATTAGCATAGGAAACAAAAGCCTACACTCACAGATCGACTTAACGACCCTCTACGCCCGGAGAATCAATCTTTATAAGACGACGATTGGACTGTGCTATCGGATTACATTTTTGGCTCCTGGGATGAAAAATGAACAAGTCTCAAACCTGGTTGCTTTTCTCTGCCTGGTTGTTCCTGTTTGAGTCAGGAAAATGGATATGGCACCCCGTCTCCTCCATCACCCTCTTGATGTTATTCCCGCCTTTGCCGATGACATGTGAGTGCTCTGTGTGGGAAACGTCCATCTTCAGCGTCACCCTGTTGCTCTAATGTTCAGAAACACAGAGGTGCACAGTGTAGAGAAGTAACTTTGAGCTACATTTCAAAATTGTATGTATTTATATACAAAGCATTAATGCAGATTATCAGAAACACCCCTAATTCATCTCTAAAATAAACTTTACTCCAAAGAGATCTTATTTTAATTTCCGTTTTTGCTAAATTAAACTAATTCAGAAAAATGAGCAACATGAGGAGGATTAAGAAATCAATCAAATATAAAATATTTGAGTCAAATATAATGGACTAAAACAACCATTTAGTGACAAAAACATGTAATGGGGTGCAAACAAAACTAAAACTGCACAACTAAATTTCTTCCTCTAGGAGGCACTAAAGTGCAGTGTTCCAGATAAGCAAAAGTCTGTGTTGCTATGGCAAAGAAGCTACATACAAACACTTAAATCCATGACAACATAGATATAGGAGCATTGTGCATGACTGGAGACGAGTCAGAGTGCAATCTGTTATTTGCACTGCATTGAAATACATTTGGAGCCAAAAAACAGAAAGAGGGAGTGGGAATAAGAGTTTAACTTTACCTTTGTGTCAAGGACAGACATGATTCTGTATTTAGCTTCCCTCACGTTATCTCGTTTCCCGCACACCTTGATGTGTGGATCTGAAACAAAGAGACAAAGCGTTGCTATTTAGAGGGAAGGTGTCGGCGCCGATAAGGACTAACGGCAGAAGGGGAAAGAAAGAGATGGCTGCATTTATCAGCAAATTAGTGAGCTTAGGAGAAAAGCTCTGCAAGAATAATTGCTGTTTTGATATGTGCAATCTCGATGAAGTCTGCAAGCAGTCAGACGGCTCCCTGTGGAAATGGATTTATGCCATTTGTCGCTCTTTAGAGTATGATCAAAAAAACAAAAAAAAAACTGCCTGTCATGTAAAGCGTGTCAAAAACAGAGTGACATCTTGATTTTCTGCGCATTCTTGTCTCAAAACCTGGGAAGATAACTTAAGAATTATTTTTCCATCTTTTTTTTTTTTTTGCATTTTATTTTATGTACCAATTTACAACAGCTGTCATAAGAACCCAATTATGGCTTGAATTCTATATTTTATTCCACAACCAAACACTTAGAAGGGAATAGGGGGAGGAAAAAAAAATTACAACCAGAATAGATGTAGCTGAAAGAACATGGAATATTTTCTAAATTTGCAAGCATGCATTCATAATCATGTTTTATTAGTTGCTTTGTGCAAAGTGAATCAATGCAGGTTTACTTTTGCCACTTGAGTGTTCCAAGATAAAAGTTCAAAAAGAGAGGCTACTGGGTTACTTGTTTAATTTGAAACAATATTACACAACATATCTAATTTCAGAATAATTGCAACACATCCACAGTAGGCTCCCTTACAGCAGGCAAAGTGAACCTGAGGAGTCATGCATTGTTTATTAACGTACTGTTCTGCTTTATTGCTAAAAGTAAGGCTAGCTCTTGATGGAATCTGAAAGATAATGAGCAGCAAATACTTGTCAACCAGATAACAACATGGGGGCCAGAATTAAAGCAACCTGGTCTTCTTTAGCATCTTAGCATGGGCTAATCATCTTGTGCTTCACTGAATTAAAGTTGTAATCCATGCAAAAGGAGCAACCAAATACTGAGTACTGAGTTCAGTATATGAACACGCTTATTATACTGAGTTCTGTGTTCTTCTATTTGCTGTAGTCAATAATCATAAAAATGAACAGACAAAAATGTCTCCATGTGGATTTAATCTATATGAAATCTGACTTGTTTTTATTTAATTATTTAATACATTACCTGATGATATTCGAACTAATTGCTCTTGTAGATGTTTTGAACATAAGAGTGTGAAAACAGAGCTTATTCAGAAGAAACAAACAGTGTGCCCTTTGCTAAAAAAAAAAAAAAAGTCCCTAAAAGAGAGAATGTAACGATTCCCAGGTAAGGCTCAAAACTGGCCAATTTCTACATATTGGCCATTTGCAAATGCAAAAGCACACAAACACAGACCCACAGAAAGAGGACAAATTACTCTGCACCCTTACAGCCCATTAGCCAATGCTTAAACTGTGCTGAGTAGCAGGAAGCCCACCAAAGCCCCTCATCCAGGAATACCCCTCCCCACGTAGACAAAAACACCCCAGGACTCGGATTTACAGTACGAGCTGCACACCAAACTCAATAAATCACATTTATTTTTTTTAGCTTCACAGCTGCATGTTGTCAGTCTCAAAGAGGGCAGGACTGGTAAAATCTCCTGGATGGGTCAGAAAACTGCAAAAAACACACACATTTATCAAGAATATGAATAAAACAAATAATCATAAAACAGCCTAAGAAGAACAAAGAAGCACAAAGGGGAAAAAAAGAAAGAACACAAAGAGCCATTGGAGGCTTTTCACAGCCTCACTGCTGATTCCAGGCAGTTTTCCCATCATTTGGCTGTTGCTGTAAACAACCAAAAGCTCTCAATTTCCTCCCGCAAAACTTACTTTAACCATTAGGGGGAGTCTGGCTCCTCTAAGTGTCCGCCAACTAACCTGCAGAGCACATCTGGCAAACATTAGCCAGCCTAAACGAGTGTTGCAGTCGTGATGTACAACACCCCCGCATTTCTGGAGTGTGTTAGGTAATTTTTTTTTCTTTTTTCTCCCCCTCCTCTCTTCTACGGTGATTGATTGTGGAATAAAAAATGAACACCTTAAGTCATAATTTGGTTCACACGACAGCTATGAAAACAAACAACAACAAGGGCCGGACTCGCAGCCGAGGACAGTTAGCCTTTTCAAGCAGCTCTGTCAAGCAGCTTTGCTTGACAGAGGAGAAACCTTTTGACCCAGAATTCTCCACTGGCAAAGCCGAAGGATTTTTTCCAGCTACATTAGAAAATACCACACAAATGAAGAGAATTAAGAGAGTTTGGCTTGGCTATTTCCATTCAAAAACATCTGCGGAAACAGAGAAAGTTCCAGTTGGCGTTGCGGAAGGGCTATTAAAATGATTTTCATATAAAAACAAAGAATAGAACCTGAAAAATTGGAATCTAAATATGATCAGATTGAGTTAACAATTTGGTCAAAATGTTTTTTTTTTATGGTGAAGACAGGCATGAGTGCACACTGTATTAAATCATTGGCAGTGTGCTTCCTCTGATAGCTAGCTCCTCAGGCTACCGACTGGACTTATCACACTTCTGCAGGTTGCAGAGATTACTTCCTGCAGGTGATAAATGAAGTAGAGAGGCTGCTCTTTTTTTTGGGATAAAGTGCTAGACTGAATGCGGAAAGGTTACAAACATACAATTCCCATCAATTAAGGTGGGATCCTGTACATTAATACCAGATTGCAGAGGAAACACTGCCTCAGAATTGCAAGGAAATAAGCAGGGCTATGAAAAGCATGACTTTAGATTAAAATAGTTGAAAACACATTTCAGAACCAGAGAAATGGCTGAGTCGTCTGCTCCTTTACGGGCTGAGCAATTGAGGTTTGTGTTTTATTTGTTATGACATGATGAGAAACAAATGCGGTAAAGATCTTCGCCTTAAGCAATTTTAAATGTGGCGTCCATAACATTTAAAATACCAGCCAATAGTAATGTACTAATTATGGTTGTTATGTGCACATTTATTATGTATTTATGACGTTTCTCAAAATAAAATGTACTAAAAGGAATTAATAGCAGAAGTAGTAAAAGTTTTACATGACAGTTTTAATAACACTGATCAATTAATCTGAATATTAGTGAAAAGTTGATCAGTTCAACAACTCAATATATAGAAACTATAGATTAATTACACCCAGATTAATGTAATAACATGAACCTTTATTAATGTTTATTATGATTATTTGATGCTTACATGTGATAAAAATACAACATTTAATGTGAGAGCGATAAAAAGCATCTCAACACAAAAATGTGGGGCTTAACGTAAAGTTTAATGTTTAGTGTCTTAAAGGTATTAAACATTTAATCTGACAAGCGAATCCACTTTGCAACCCATGTGCTAATTTATTACGATGTCTAATTATCCATTTCAGACAACAGGGTTTTGTCTTCAGACAAAGCCAAAAAATAAAATAAAGATACCCCTATAAGAAAAGACATAACTTGTATGAAACATTGTAAAATAAAATTAAAACACATATTTAAATGAAACCATGGGAATTACTGTAACACACAAAGAATGACAGCACTCCCAAAGAAATAGACACTGAACCAGATGAAAGATTTGCGCAGAACAGGAAGTGTGTCGGCATTACATTCTTACTTTTTTCTTTATAAGTACCAATTAGCAGGGTTTATAGATTTGACAGCTGTCTTTCAGTAAAGTATGTTTTGGACAAATTGCTGCAAAATAATAATTACTTATATAGCTGTAAAAAGTGTCATTTTGAGTATTCCAAAGGCCTGTATTGTATTGGTTTGCAGAAAACTGTCTTTGTCTGCTATGTCATTAGTAATGCCAACAAATAACCTTTGTATGTAGATCTTAAATTCACGGTTCTTTAAACTTCTTCTTTATGGAATGTTACATTTTTCATGTTATGTTTTTATCTTGTGAGGCACTTTGAACTGCCTTGTCGTTGAAATGTGCTGCACAAATTACTTTCTGTCTCTCCTAAGATGTCATACTTTGTTCTCCAGAAGCCATTACGACTCTAATTATGCAAATGATTAAAGTCACTTTCAGGACTCTAATCCTGTAGCTTTCAGCACATCCAAAACATTATTTTGAAGTCTTTTATTACTGTCTTAGCTAACAGATTACAAGGAGACCCTTGTGTTAGATTTCCAAGAATACCAAGAAGATAAAAAGTTAAGGCCAATATTTACTTCATAGGACAGAGAAAATAGTTCTCTTTAACAGGTTTTTAGTTTAGTTTTGTTTTTCTGACGTATGATCTTTGCTAGCAAGAACTTTGTTCTTGTCTTTGCAGCCAGTCTTGAGTAAAAGTATTAATGTCTCTCTTCTGATTGAGTGTGCCTTTCAACAGAGAAACTTGTTTAGACCATTCTGACATCTAAATAATGCATTTTGCTAAAAGTCAACTTTCAACAACACAGCCAGAAAAATGGACAAATAAAAATCCTGGGACATAATAGAAAGTATTGTCACTTCGCCCACATGTAACTTCTCCCAGTCAATGTAGGAAGCAGGTTTTTGTGAATGAAGGGAGCCTTACCGTGAATGAAGGGTCACGTACGTACGAACTGCCAGGACTTAAAGTTGATTATGTATCAGAGAAGAAAAAATTTTAAACAATCCCCCTATAATCCCTTCAACATTTGTGTGAGCCGACTAACTGAGGAAGTTACATGACGTCAGTGGATCGCACATCTGGTTCGAAGACTAGCGCTGGCAATTCTCCTGGGGGAAACAAAGCGGCCACAGCTACACCTATTCCTCCAACCCCCTTTTCTTCCTCCGCAGTCCCTCCCTCCCGGAAGAGCTTTAAATAACCATGCAAATCTTTTATTGGTAACAGAATGCTGGAGCAACTTTACCAATAAACACAAGAGCTACGACTCCCACACCTCCGCCTCCGCAGGAAAAAGAAAAGGAAAAAAAAAAAGAAAAGAAAAAGTCCTGTGTGTAGATTAAGTTATTGGCTTGCGAGGAATGGAAAACATGTAAGCTTTCATCTGTGCAAATGGCTCAATTAGCTCTTTACCAAAGAATGCAAGTGCAACGTAGAAATACCTTTCTCTCATCCATCTGATTCTAATAACTTTGTCTGAGAGAACACTGACTGTTAAAATAAACTCTTAAATAAATGTTAAAAAATTGAAACAAAACATGACTAGATGTAACATTTTTGAAATTCAATGTCCCTAGTGAATTTTAATTGAAAGCCTGTTTTTGGACACTGATTACGGCAAAATGTCCTTTCCATTAGACTAGCTCCTGACTGTTATATGCTGTATTTGTTTTCAATCGATGACATAATCAGCATGAAAATGGGAGCATTAAAAAACAACAACCACATGAAATAATATTCCTCTTTCATCATTAGTTATCTAGTTACAAATCTATATGAAACCAGGTTGTAAAACGTTAGGATTTCTTAGCAGCTAAGACTTTCTGTCAAATGGCTCTCATGTTTTAAAATCCTGTTAGTAAAATGGCAGAGAAAAGGTTGTGGTAAACCAAATTTTCTCATTTCAGCTTTAGTAATCAATGTAGGAGCAGAAATTGTTTTTGCTTTAATTAAAAGCGATTGAATAATGCCATAGATTTTGTTTGTGTAAGAACATTGAAACTGTGGAAATTATTACCACAGGTTGTCATTAAATGATAATCACCAAGCAGCCAATGTGTTTCCTAACTCCTAACCACTCACCATTAGTGTAAATAACTGTGAATGTGGCAAATATGTAAGGTAACAAGATGCTCAACTTCAGACACTAATCTGCACGTAAACATATTCATACTGGCCACATTTTACGAGCACATTTTATGAGCTCAGCAGGTTAAACACAAACATCCACAAACAGAAAAGGCATGGCAGAATCAACATTCAAGTAAAGACTAACATGGCTTTGGTCTTTGACATGACTTCAGAACGATAGGTCATAATCAGGGGATCAACAATAAAAAATTGTGGTTTTTTTTTCTTTCTTTCACTCGGTCGGTGAACCGGTCATATCAAAAGTTTTACCTTCCACGAGCGTCGGATGTCACTCGTGGAAGGAAGCATTTCACTGCACAATAAAAAATAAAATCAGAGGGCACACAAGTAGGATAATAACTATGTAAGCTTTAACGAAACATGTATTTTTGCAGCTTTCTTGTACAATGCAACTGCTGCTTGAACTCGTCGTCCAGCGGCACACTAAGTGGAGCAATTTGTTTTGAATTTGTAGCGACAGAAACAGAAAAAGCTCTTTAAACTGTCAGATTATCAATTCAGCCACGGCTGAGACGAAAACAAAGATTTAGACGGTCTTTAATCACAGTTCCACAGCAATAACAAGAACGGGAGAGAACAAGTGTGTGATGGACCTAGAAGAAAGCAGAAGGGTACATTTCTGATGATAAGTTTAAACTCATGAAAGGTATGAGTTATCTCCAAATGAATTGGAAAAAAAATACCATATTGGTGCAATTTTTTCTGGAAAACTTGTAGATATGAAGAATTATGTTTCTTGCATCCAAGTAAACAGGTGCAGTTATGATACTAACTATAATGTAGTATGATCATGTAGTAGATGACTCAGTGACAAGAAGTGCTTAAGGATAAATCACTCTGTTCTACTTCAGGAACAAAACAAAACAAAAAAAAAAAACCAGATCATTGTCCTGATTTCCATTTATGAACAATACACTCCAGTTTCAAGGCGGACATTTTCAGCCATGATGAGAACTGTTTGAATCCCTACTACTATTGCAACTGCTAACAAAGTCACTATCTCGTCAAAAGGGAATAATAATCATCACATCATTTATTTATTTAATTTCTTTTTTGTACCTTTTTTGGACTTGGCTCCAATCTTCAGTTTGGAAGGCCAGGCTATCTGTGTTTGGGTTTCATCCATGATCTGGAAAAGAGTGAAAATGGAAAGATATTAGTTCATCATACGGACAATGACAGTAGCAGACGCTGTGCGTTGGAAAGATGCAGGGAAACTGTGTCTAACTGTTAAAGGAGTAAAGTGATGATGAACACAGAACTAGTAAAATACCCAAACAGTCAGAGGAGCTACAGCATCTATTAGTGGGTTTCACTTTGAACCTATTTGCTGAATCAGACGTACATTTCTGCTCACGGTTCAAATTCATCCCACCAGAAAGTGAAAAGGAAATCAAAACAAGAGAGGACTTTCAGGTTTGGAACTAAAAAAAAAGGAAGAAAGAAAAAAGGAAAGACATCTTTATGAGAAGAACCCTTTGACAAATCTAACCAAGAGCATATGCTAGAGTGGTTTAAAAAAAAACAAACAGCAGGAAGAAGGAATAAAAATGAGTAAGAAGGTGTTCGGGAGGCACTTGGGTTTCTTAATAAACTCCTGCTTGTCTTTTTGAGCAATAAGAAGTTCACCTCGACTGGATTAACAGCTGCAATCCATAAACAGCGCTCTTAGGAAGAAGCTCGTCCTAAGAAGGGGTTAATCTAAGTGGAGAGGGGAAAAAAAACAACAGAATAACACCAGCAGAAAAAAAAAGGAAAGGAATGATCGCTGTGTCCTGATGGATTTGTCCTCCTCAAGACGTTCCATCCCTGTTTTCACAAACGTCCTGCAGTCTTTTGTTTATTTTCATACTTTCCAGGGGTTTGTTCTTTCACGGTGGAGAAGATATGAATTTGTCAAAGTTCTCGAAGTCACGGCCACGTGACGAAGCACTGGAGGACCGTCTCAAGCCATTACAACACCGCCAGCCGCCACTTAATATATCTCAGTGGACAACTGCATTGAGCCATAAGATAAACAGTGCAAGTCAGATGGACGTGAGTGTGTATTGAGCCCCATTAGCGCTCCCTGCAGATGTTCAAGCTGATTAACATGGACAGAAAATCCAAAATGAGACAACTTTTCTCTTGTTTATTAATTTCAGTGCCAAGATAACGTCTTGTAGCTTGCAGCTGGTGCCAAATACACAAAAAGGTATGTGTTTAAATTCTCCACATGGTCCTTTGGAAGCAGCACGGTCTGTTTGGGATCCTTTGAAATAAAGTTTGACAGCTTGTCCAGTGCCACCCGCGCCCACCTGAGAAACGGAGAGTGAGCTCTGAAAAAGTGCAACACATGCCTTTCTTCATTCTGCAGCTTTACGCTCTGAGTCTGTGATGGTTGACTGGAAGCCCTTTCAAGCCTCACTGGTTTCCTACATCCCAGCCCTATAATCACATATAAAAATGGACAGGCTAGATCATCAGCTCGACAAAAACCCTTAGGTAATATTTGATCTTTCAAACAAACTCAGTAAAAATTGCCGTTTTTAGAGGTTGCAAAACCAAAGCAAGTGCGCATCGGTTCTGATTTGAAACACAACATTCATCTGAAACACATTGAAGCAAATTAATGCAAGTCAATAAATTTCTTGCGCAACACATCAGCACAACAAATGCCTTTAATAATGTGAGACATTCTTGTTTTGTTTTTCCAGATCCTGACTTTGACTGAGCCCTTCAGCACATGAAAATGCTCAACTTGAGCAGCTCTCAAGCCTTCAGATAACATTTCTATTTCTCGTGCGTTTACGTCACATTCATTTTTTTTCTACAAATGTGAACTCCATGTTTATCAGGCCTAACCATACAGTGCAATACCATATCACTGGTCAATCTATCCACCAAATTGCTATAATTTCCTTTTGTGTTGTATTTATATTCTTTGTTTTGTATTTATATTCTTATTATATTTACTGTGTACCTTGTATTTAATTTGTATTTTTTTGTATTCTTTTGCGTATGCTTACTGTGTGCCACATTTTTGCCTGTGAGCTGCTGGTAACTATAATTTCCTGAGGGAGTCTTCCCAAGGGATCAATAAAGTCAAGTCTAAGTCTAAGTCTAAGTCTAAAGACTGTGTACTATTACACTTATTTTTAAAGGCAATTGGTTGAATTGGATTTCATTTAGGGGCATCAGCCTAAACAAAGATGAAAACAAATGCTTTGCACTCTTTTCAGATTTACTTTGTAAAAACGTTTGAAAAGCATGAACCACTTTCTGCTGGTCCGTCACACAGAATCTGAACAAAACGCAGTGAAGTTTGTGGTCTCAATTTGAGAAAATGTTGAATATATCAACGGCTAGGGATATTCTGGCTGAGCAATCGATACTTTCACAGATGAGAATTTATTTGTTCAGATGAAGCTGAACAGATGAAGCTTGTTATGATGTGGACAATAAAAACTTTTAGTGCCCACTTTCACTGCCATTGCCTCATAGAGAACCACATCAGTGTTTTGGAAACAGTCAAAGGCCTGCTGTAGGGGAGCTTTCAAATGAGATGCCGAAACAACATTCGCAGTAAGAACTACACTGCTTCTCCTTGTTTCGGTCTTGCTCTCGTTCTTGCCTCGCTCAAATCTCCAAACGAAAGCAGAGGTGGTTAAAATGGATCCCTAATCAGTTGACTAATCAGGTAAAATACCGATCGATCAGTCGACTTCCAAATCACCACTAGCAAAAGACGTACAATGTTACCATCCCTTCTATCTGTGGAGTTTTCTTTTTGGTTTTATTTCTGCAATAAAATCAATGACTTCACATGCAGTAAAATACAGGCCCGAAACTTTAACCTGATGAGTTTTTTTTTTCCCTAACTGGGTACTTCATGTTATCCTGAGGCCGTAATTCTGATCTATTACAGGACACCCACCCAGCCGTCGTCTAGTACATGTGAGGAAGCCCAATAAATCATCTTCAGCCCAGAGCGGGACGCTAACTGCGCTGACTGAAGTCACATGTTCGCGCGGACAGCTGGATGTGGTACAAACAACAACAACAAAAAATGGCATTTTGTGTTTAATGATACAAAGGGAAACCAATCCACATCAGTTCATTCTTTTTATTTGTTTATTTTTTTCTATTTTCACTTTTTTTCCCTTGTGCTTCAAGTCCTGTGACACTGTCTGGGATTTATCACAGAGGCATTCATTTAGAACACTGCAATTTAACAAAAATAATACTGCAGCCAGTTCTCAGAGGTTGCTGTAATTATGGAGGCAAGGATGAACTAAATATAAAACCATGACAAATTCCGTTTTGAGTTTTAGATAAAATTGTAACTGAAAAGTGTAACATTAAAATTCATATTTGCTCTTTTTTTTTAACTAACGTAAACTGCATTAAAAATAAGATTTATCATAAAGATGACATCACGGCCCTTCGCTCGCATCTTCAAGCCCTTGAGTCGTCAACGTTTTCTGTAAAAAGGGCTTTGTTCGGAGAAACCCGCTTCCTGTCCAGCTTTGCTGTTTTTGGCAGCGCTCAGCAGATGGGACTGATTTCTGACAGACCACACACCATTTTAAAGGGCTGCATGGCGTTTGTTTTCACGAAGGGCCTTGAAATGGTTAAAGGTATTTGAACAAATTAAGAAACCTATACATTTACTATTCCAGACTTCTATTTTTCCTGCCACTCCACCCTTTTTCCTAACCTGAACAAATACAGACGTTGCTGCGATAGGTTTTCATGCCATCCGATTAACAAAACTGATTGGGTAGTTGAGGTTTTCAGCTGCGAAGAAGTCTAGAGCCATGTGTTGCATCACAAACGAAGGAAATCTCTAAAAAGACAGCACATGTAGTCCATCCATGTGACTGGGTTGTCACAGCAGCAAATCGGCATGGCAGCGTTGTTTTCTGCAACGGTGCAGCTGTTAGTTCAGCTGGAATGTGTGATCGTGGAGCGAGACGGGGAGAGGGCTTTAGTCGGGCGAAAAGCAGAGTTAAGAGGCTAAAGACAGCAGAGCTCGAGGCGGACAGAGCTGACTCAACCATCCCCTCGAGACTCAACAGCCGTGTTGAGAATCCAAGTGCTAACTCGCAGCTATCGCCTTGTTACCCCTCTTGGCTAGTAATGTTTACATAATTATGAAAAGGCAACACAAATTACAAGGAGGGAAGATTTGCAAACACCCCAGCTGAACATTTGATCAAATATATACATCCTCAACCAGAGGGAACCTAATTATTTAAGCCGCCAAAGTAATATTTCTTTGCTTTTCTTCTTAAAAAAATAAAACAAAAAACCCCCGCTGAAAAATAGTGTCAACACAATCTGTGGGACTCAAATCAAAAAGCACTGCTTGGCCACCAGGTGGGGCAGTTTATGTTTTTTCCAGCCATTCTATAGCACAATCAAGAAATTATGATACATTCGGCTGCTATAAAAATATTGTACATATCAAATGTGACTTGTAATTTAGCGCCATGAAATTGGGTCTCTGTGTCTTTAACAGCAGCGGTCAAAACCTGTTTGGTGCTCTGGGCGACCGACCTGGCCGCTGCCATCCCGCTCCTCTCCTCCAGTGAAGAATCGCCACTGATTGCGCTGTCCAGTTAGTCTGGACATTCGCAGCTTAGTGCTTTGCTGCTCGAAACATCTGACACCAAAAGACTGGTAGAGAACAGCTCATTCATGAAAAGATGGGACAGGGAAAACATATGTCTAAAACAACCTGGAGGTCATCTCTACACATACCTGTTTATTTAACATGGCTATCTTTAGTCACATATAGACAATGATACACAATCTAGCAACTAACTACTTAAATCTATATCAATTATATGTGTTATATTTAGTGTGGCGATATCTCCTTAATTTAGGATCTACTTGAGGGAAAAAGCAAAAAAATATATATATTTTTTGTTTATAGAATTGGAAAAAAATTCACACAGTAAAATATAAACTATATGTATATTAGTATATGTGACATGTAATTCTGTTGATCACTGTTGTGATAATGACATGACATGTCATAAATAAATACTTCAAATGTTAATAAGAACTAGTTAAAGTTGGTATCTCACTGACTGTGAATGTTACAATCTTACTTAAACATTTTCCTTTGCAGTATCAAACAAGCATCAATGCATATATTACTGACATACAGCCTGAATCCATGGTCCAAATAAACGGATATTTGTTACTGCAAGCAGCGATATTCTGACATTCGGGAACTCTGACTTCAGAAGGAGAGTTGAGTTTTTGACTGGAAACCGACTTCTAAGATTAAGTTTCCACTAAAACAGTCGTAACTCATTTTTTTACCTTTTCTCCTCAGTAATTAAGATGTTTAGTTTCTATTTGAAATTTAATGGAAACAGTTAGGAAAAATCAAGACAGCAGGGAAAAAGCCATTAAAAAGGGCGGATGAAGATTTTCGTACAGAAGGGAAGAGCATACCTGAGAAAAGTGGGTCTATATGTCTTCACTTCTCCAGTACACATGCAGTATGTGGGCCACAAGCACAGAAAATGTGTGTTTTGCATAAATATCCATGTAAGTGTGGATTGGGCTGCAAAGCTGTCTGACCTACTTATGTCAGCCTCTCATAATTTCCTGCAGGACGATCACTCAATCTGGTCTGTGGTAATTTTTGGTATTTTTTTTCGATGTCAGAGCAAAGAAATACAAACTGCTTTGGTGAAGAAAAAAAAACTAAACAAAATAAATGACGTTTGGCTTCAGATCTAAGCGTGCTGGCACTGTTAGGCCTGGCATTATTTAAAGAACCACACTCTCTGGGAAGGAGAGACGGAACGGGCGATCCCAGATGAACTGGCTACAAGTTCAAAGTTGCCTCTCAGCTCAAAATCTACTCGGAGACTTTCTGTGGTGAACAGTTATCATCTTCACCAGCTTCAGCTTAGCTTCTCAAGTCTCTCTTTTGCCTCACGGCTCACCCTGTGCACTGCTGTCCAAAAAGCTTTCTGGTCTTGGCCATGAATGCAAACTCCCAACAGATCACAATGGGAAACTTTTCCAGCACAACAGCCCCTTAAACTGCCTACCGACACATGTTTTCTATTAAACAATCATGAACCTAATTTGCAGAGAGAAACTCTCACTGCACCAGACTGATAGCAGTGAGACATCTGTGGTATAACGGAGCGCAAAGACAAAGCGACATGAAAGCAAGAGGGAGCGTTTGAGGGCCAAAACCAAACGGATATTCCCTCGTATGAGCTGTGAGAACTTCGACGGGGCCAATCCCAAAGTGGTCCAACTTGTGGTCTGCTGCCATCATTGTTACTTTTTCACTGACTCTGTGAACAGGGCGGACCAAACTAGACTTAGGGAAGTCCAGGAGACGGTGAGTAAGAGGCTCTGATCAACCGAGGTAGTGGGCTCATGGGCGGGCCGTTTTGTGCTGCGTCTGTACAGCAGATCTCAACCCCAAAGCACAAGCAAGAAGAGTGTGTGTCAAAACAATAAGTAAATAAATAAAGCTGAGCATATGCTCTCACGAGGAAGCTAGAGAACCAGTTTATTAGTTGCACTTAATATGTGCGGTATGGGACAGGCAGGAAGCAGTCCAACTAAGAGTTTCCATTTTCATCAACTTCAAGGTATTGCAGCTCATCCATTTTCTCTCAACAATACTGCTCCACACTCCACACTTGATGTTTATTTTTCTGACTTTTACTGGGCATATATGGGGAATCAGGAGTTATGGAAATGGAAATACTCCTGGAAAGGCATAACGCCGGGTCTCCTGCTTCACTGCTTCTTGCCAAGTCAAACATCGGCAAGCTAAATTCTGTTATCTGATTTAACGTGTAATTAGGACTATTTCTTTAAGCAAACTTTAAGTCACAGAATCACAGATATATTATATACACAAAGCTACAATACGGTGCATCCTCCAAATTTCAGCGAAGGAGAAAGGGAGGAGTGAAAAGGCGCCTGGCTTTAATTACTTAGGATAAGAAAACTGCGGCAGGAAAAATGAAATAGCCGCTTTTTGACATTAAACTCAGCTTCCCAAATTCCAAAACCAAAAGCGGAAAACAGAGAAAGGAGGAACGCTGTTCTCCGTTTCTTTCCTTACAACCAGTAGCTTTCTGAGGGTGTTTAATACAGTCTGAAGCTTGTTTTAGGCAAATAACAGTCTACAAGCGATGTTTCAAAGAGAAGAAAATAACTAGTAAAACTGAGTAATAAAACACAACACGATGTTGATGTTTGGATTTTTCCAAAAATGACAGAAGAGTTCATCTAATAGTTGCCATGTGTGATGGGGAGATTGTTCAACATTTACCTAAGACTTTCAATCAGGACAGCTACAGTAACAGAGCCTGTGGTAGAGATGAGACTTTGGTGTTAACATTTTTATTGTTAATCTGTTTCAAACGTACATGCATGAACATGATCAGCGCGATGGGAAAAATACTTTTATATAAAAACCACGCAGATTCACACTAGACTGACATATCAGAAAGAATATGAAGAACTTGGGGGTGGAAAAAAAACGCCTCAAGACTTTATAAAATCAAGGAGAACCCTCCTTGCGCTATTCTTCATGTAGTGCCTTCATTAACTTTTATTACAACAGTCCGTAAAAAGACTCACCGCTGGGCCCATTTTTAACACTGCACTAAACTCTAGATAATCTCGTACGTCACGGCACATTATGTAAGTGAGAATGGCCCTGAGTGTTGTGTCAGCTGTGTTTTGGCATCAGAGTCCTGGGGCCATTTAACGTCAGCGACGTTCTATTGTTTTTATTTGTTTGGATTTGTAATTAGAAGAGACCGGACGAAACACCTGACCTACGCTCCCTTGCGAGGCGAGGAGAGAAGTGGTGCTCGAGCTCAACGCAAAGACAAAGCAAACGTTACCAAGGTGGAGACTGCACACTCACCTTCTGAAAGAAATCCTCTCCGCCGTTCACTCTCCCCTCCGAGGCAGCTAGAGAGAGAAAGAAAGAGAAGAAGAGGAAGAGAGAAATCATTTTAATACAACTACACAAACACTCACTTTTAAAGGTGCGATGTAATCCTGTAGCAGCCAAATCACACAATGATTATGAAGTCCTCACAGTGCTACAGTATCTTCATTCAGAGCTTGTGTTTATGGTGGATTTCTGTTTTCTGTTTTTTTTATTTGGCACATTTACTGGGATTGCTGATTGGCAGCAGTGGAATAAAATGTTCCAAGTAATTTTCTATAATCCCAGAGATGGGACACAGCTTCCATGAAACAATTTGGTGGACACAAATCTTTCAGCGTTTCACACTCGCCAAAAATGAAGTCTTTCACACATTATGGTCAAAATTGTGTTTTGTTTTTTTTCTCTCACAAAACTGGTTGCCTAACTGTTTTGAGCACAGCTTCAAAGAAACCCAAAACCTGTTTGAAAGATCACCTGTAAACAAACTGAGCATTTACAGCAGGAGCTCAAACACGCCTGAAGTCGCTCCAACACATCTGCAAGTCCTTCAAACTGTTTCAGCTCTGTTGATCTTAAATACATCATCTGCTGCGCAGGGCAAATTCTTACAACGCTGTACAGCAAGCGTCTAAATGATGCTCCCAGGATGAGTTTTCAAGTCTTGGTAGCAGCCAGACAGTCAGATGGATTATAGACCTCAGTGAAAAAACCTGAATGATATTATTAGAAGAGAAAATAAATTCCTGCAAAAATGATGGCACTGCATTGAACTGAAAAGCCCCAGAGGAGGTCAAACCACTGAATGGAGCATATTACAGCACCTCTAAGATAATTAGATGATTCCTGGGTCAGGTGATTCAAATCTAAATTGGTAAAGCTACTTTGCAAAGCTGTTCTGAAAACAGTTTTACGGAAATGTGCACACAAAACACTGTTTACAGTTTCTAATACATTCAAACGACCGACCGCCAAAGATCAGTTTCTTGTTCATGCAGAGATTAAAGCCAGATTGTTGAGTGCCTCCAACCAGAGCCATTTGTACTGAAGCAGACTTCAAAATAAACATGACTCCAGATACAGTTTATGAAGACGGATAGTCTGGCTTTGCTCAGAAGATGAGTCCGTTCCTGTAAAACCATCAGCAGCCCACTGAGCTCATGAAAGACCAATTCTGGCTTCTCTGTGACATTTAAATTCAAATACAAGAATTATTTAAGAAAACGTTAGAATCCCAAAAAGCAATCATAATTCTGAGACATTTAATTTTAATTATTTAGTTATCAACGAGATTTTATCTCAGTTCATTTACAGCAAAATCCCATTTGTGTCACAGTTTATATTTGTAAAAACAGCCTGTTTGTCAGCATTTTGGTGCATCCAAAAACCAGTGATGGGAATAATGACATCAAAATAAACCATGTTACTAATGTCGCTATGTTTTTTGATAGTGAGTTGTCTAGCCAAATACTTCCTTCACCGGTACGATGCCATTTCTGCTGTGAAAAAGAAAAAGCGGCACATTACTATAATTCAGAGCTCAGATAATCTAAACCAGCATTTTTAACTGAAAGTGCAGATGTCAATTTTCTCTCATAGAGCTGAAAAGGTGCAAATAAATATTTGACATGTGATTAATGCCCCAGTAGTAATGTTCTTTATATCTCTAGTAAACGTCTCAAAAAGCCCCCCATCAACAAAACTGGTCACAAAGAATGACGATGTCGATGCGAGCTTGCACGCAGGAGAAGCCTAAAGTCAGGCAAGGTTAAAATAAAGTGAATAGAGTAACGTTGTCCAAGCAACCTAAGCTTAATTTTACACCGTGCAGCCATGTCAGTAGCATACAGTTTCCTACCTTTAGCTCATTCTGCTAAGTGTCCATTTTTTATGCAAATACGTAACTTCCTTATTCCATACAGGTGGAAATGGGATCCCGCTGAGACAGGACACACATAATGTTTTAAGCATGTCGTCAGCTTTTGTGACATTAAAAAGTAATGGGGAACAAATGTGGATGAAGCAACGCTGGATTCCTTTTTAGCTACTTCAAGAGCTTCAGATTTTTTTATTTTATTTATTTTTTTAAGTTAGAGTTGCTTCAAAGAGTGACTTATGCTCACAGTGACGCACTTGGAACACAACTAAATATGTGTTCAATCTGATATGAGATAAGTCCACAGTTTCCTTGGAAAAATTCAACTGCAATAATCGAACTGGAAAAAGTCTATAATTAAGACTGGCGATACAAAAACGTCTCAATGATATTTTAGTTTAGATACACATCAATTACAATGACTGGTTTGATGGTAGATATGAGGATAATTGCTCTGTTCTTTGGCAGCTTTAAATGATCCCAAATGATGAAAACCGTGTTCTTGTGCAATAGCCCTGCTAAACCTGAGACTTACATGTTTCGTTGCTGCTTAGAGAGCAGCAAATAAACATGTTTTATTCCCGGGTTGACAAAAGATAAACAGTCTAGCCCAACAGAACAGATTTTATTCTGCATTCAATTCTTCAGAAAAAAACCCCCCAAATGCTACTGTCATACTTAATGCCTCTATTACTGGAGGTGAACAGAAAAGAAATGATTCAGGGTGGGATTTGAGGATGCTAATGCTAGCCCTTACAGCCAAACTGTTTTTGCACAAATGAATGACAAATATATAACCATAGATATTTTTGTGCTTATTTTTTACTACAAATTTGAAAAAGTAAAATATTTTCAGTATCCACTTTGTTCTGAGTTTAGTAAAAATCCCAAAGATTATACATGCAGTACTGTAAAATATATATATTTGCCTTCTGCTTTTGCTTTCTTCTTTTAACAATAATATTCAGCAGACTGATGAGGAAAAAAGTAACACTTTTAATAAGATATGCTACTGATGTAAGGCCAACACTTCATTTCAAAAGTAGAACATCACACAGAGTCAAACATGGTGGTCGCCGGTGATGGTCTTTTGCTGAGTTGCTACTTTAAAACAAGGACGACGGCAGCAGGAAAAGTTAGCTGAGCAATTGGTGGATCACTGTGAATTCTTTTTCACACAGTTTCAATAGACATTTAAGTGCAACAAAGAAGTTGAAAGAGAAAAAAAAATCTGTAAGTAGGCACTTTTTCAAGGGTTGTGTGCTTAAATTTCTTAATTCCCAGTTTTAAATTTTCAAGAAAATGCAACAAAATGGCCACCGGTAAATTTAACTGCATTTGCACTGCATACCTCAGTGAACTGAGGTATGCTCTTGTTTCAGCTCTATGTGAAAGAGACCAAAGGTTTTTACAGCGGTTTTGCAGGCAGAGCAAAGGGAAGTGATCATGATTATTTTTATATAGCTCTTAATGTAAAACTTTAAAGTACTCAGTACGCCATGCTATTCATTTTCCATGAAAGGAGGTTGTGCAGCCAGCATGACGAGGATGGAGATGCTTTGACTACATAGAATGAGAACAGGAGTATTTCGTGCCAGAATGGGCTGTATGGAACTCTGCAGGGTATACTTGACAAATGCAGCGTTCATATAAGAGCTGCCATTGTGCAAGTAAGTAATTTTGCAGGTGTACGCTGGTGCTTCATAGTGTTATAAGCTAAACTTAAGACTTCAACACTATATTTCTCAGTTTTATGACAAAATATGTTTTTCTTAACGTTTCTGATACATAAAAAGAGGCAGGACTTTATCCCCAATAATGAAATGATTAAGTCTAAAGAAAAATAATTACAACTTTAAATAGCAAAGTAAACAATAAAACAAGACTAACATGAGAATAAAAGCTGGAGATAAACAGAATGATGAAAGAAAGTACATTGTGTTTTGTTGTCAAGCTGTTAATAAGTAAGACAAATACTAGTAATAAGTAAGGCAAATAGCTCAACAGCATTTTTGGAATAAGACTCACAGGAAACTGAAAAGAATCTGGATGTTCTTGCTTGTGAGCGAGAACATGAGCGATGTGTTCAGAGAAAAACATCCTGTTGAGCGCACATGGAAGAAGACTTGGGAGGGACGCAGCACGGGTCCCTGAGCTATGCAACAATGAAAAAGACTAACGTTAATATGTCCTCTGGAGTGGACATGCTCCTGCATGATGCAACAAGCTAGCAGAATAATCATCTTGGTGAGGGTCTGCACTCAATACATGAGAAAAATTAAAATGTGCCTCTATGGTCAGGTGTGTCTGTTTGCTCAGACACACCTGACCACATATTGGCCTTTCCAAATAAAAGTGATCAGCAATAAGTATAAGGAACATTACTTAAGTTTGTACATTAGGTGCAAGTTTGTAGAGGGAGATACTGTATAGCATAACAGATTGGATGGAAAAAATCTGATTGCATTCACCATGAAGCTTTTTCTCCTCTTAATGGAAATAAGAGGAATACAAAACTGCCTCTAAAATCCTCAACCTTCAGCTGAAGTTCCCAGTCAACTAAATTTATGCATATAGAAAAGATACATTTGTCTCTGTTTAACAATAACACCAAAAACAAAAAATATAAATCAATAAAATATTTATTAAATATATGTTGATGGATGAAAATTGTTCTCTGCAGCACATTTTTATCCAAACAAAACAAGGCTTTAGTGTTATTGAGGTGATTGAAAAGCAGTAAAAAAAAGTTGATAAAAAAAAACTCATTTTTTTTTATAAATGTCTTTTCCTTCACTGTGGGAAAAAAAGAGAAAATGTTCCATAAAAATACACAGCTCATGCCTTTCTGCTTAGAGAACCGTGAACTTTTTTTTTTTTCATTTTGTTTGGCCCACAGCTAAAGCGCATATATCTATTCTTCAGCTGTGCTTTACATAAAAAACAATCTGCTTCTGTTTCTTTTCAAAGGTTACCTCAGTACAGCGCGCTCTCCTCCATTCCAGCAAAAGCATCCAACTATTCGGCCCAGATTTGCATGTTGCAATCAGTTCTGTCATCGGACCCACTTTGAAAAATATGTGCTTAATATCAACAGCTATTTTCATTCGATGGCGATTTGAGAAAACAGTTATGACATTTGAA